AAATTTCAATTATTTGGTAGGTACCTATACTCATATTTTATAGATACCAAATAATATAAAAGTTAAATATTAAGTAGTTTACTGTGGGAAAGGTACATTTGTGATAGGTGACTCTTTGTTATTATTTAGAAGAAGCCATTACGCTTGAAGTGCTGCTAGTCCTCGACTCGCAAAGTGTTTGCCAACTTATTTCTAAATTAGGAGAGAGATTTGCAGTCATCAAAAAATTACAGAGTTACGAGATAAGCAGGAGCAATTAATGATCTTTTTTCAGTATCAAAAGGTAGTATTTTTGTTAACTGTTTTAAAGATGTAGTCAGAGTCGTTCGGCATCGGCCGTATGCGACAGTATTAAATTTCGGCCGATCACGGTGCTCTGACCACACTGCCGTACTAAGCGCAGAAGCGGTAATTAACATAATGGCTGTCATGAGATATTGGTACTTTTATGTTAATAGCTCTGCCAACTCAGTTTGGTAACAGACACCGCTAAAAATAACTTGATATTTCAATCATTTACTGACAAAATACCGATTTAATACCTTATTAAAGTAGAGATTTTTAACCCTAGGTTCATATTACGGAAAAATGTCAATTTCCTTTAAATGTGCAGTTACCGCTTCTGCGCTTAGGACGGCAGCACAGCCTAAGAGTATTTATTTAGTCCATTTTGTATTTTTATATTCCATAAAATAGGATATAATAAAATTGTTTAAAAATATTATATGCACATTTTATTTCTCATCAATCAAACAGAAGTATGAAATTCAGGCTATACATTAGTTTATAAAATGTATACATTAGTCAAAATAATTCTATAGTGGAAATGCAAACCGGTGCCAAATCAGCGGATTTTGAGATTTTGTTATTTATGTGGTCTGTACTTTTGTATCAATAAACGTTTTTTTGTTTACTTAAAATTATTCAAGTGCTAACATAAATACAATTTGATAAAACAAAAAAAATTAATACCCAAGTACATGTCTGCAGATCAAAACAAAATCTCGCAATCCGCTAATTTGGTACTTAGTTTTGCATTTTCACTCTAGAATTATGCCTTAACATTAAGGTAATCGTTATTACTGAAGTACATATTACCTAAAAATGCTGTTTGCTATCAGGCTCCAAGCATTAAATAATAAGACATTGTTTTAACAACAAATACATTTAATGTGTTTCAAAAATAAGCCTATTCTAGATGTTAAGGCAACCCGATGTTTACTTAAAGTAATGATGCAGTTAAAATTAAGTCAACTAACTTTCAGTATTTCAAATCCACCATGCCTTTATATCAAATGCACGTTTCTTAGGCCATATCCGAACCCGTAACTACTTTACCACAAATGCATAGCGTTTATATTTAATGCTAAGTTTTTTCAGTGTACGGTAGTACCGAAACCGGGTAATACTGTTTTGAAGTCTGCGGAGGAAACAAAGAGTGCCTTAATGAAAGCTTTGAACCCTCAAAAACTTGGACTGCGACTGGACAAGGTGACCCAGGTGGGAAAGCTCGGTGTTCGCATCGAGTCGACCTGCTCGGATCCCACCAAGATCCCGACAGCCGAGCTGGAGAGGGCAGGGTTAGTAGTTCAGGCTAACTCCAAGTTGAGCCCGCGACTGGCTTTATACAGTGTCCCGATTAGTTACACCGCAGAGACACTGAAGACCGCGACTGCGGAGAAAGCCGCGGAGAATGCAGCGACTGCGGCAGAGAATGCAGCGACTGCAGCGGAGAATGCAGCGACTGCAGCGGAGAATGCAGCAACTGCGTAGAAAGCGTGGACGGCGGAGAATGCAGCGACGGTGGTTCCAAAATTGAGGGCTCGCCCTGCCAAAATAAAAAAAATGTTAATAATGGGTATATTAATAATAGCTATAAACTTACAACATTGGCCACCTCGGTCTCATCAAAAAGCTGTAATAAATATAATTTTTTATTAAAATTTGTTGTTTTTTTTTTAAATAAAATTGTAAATACTTATATACCCACTTACCTCTTCATACATGGTCCTTAATTTTGGGTTTAAAAGGTGCTTGTGCCGGATTAACCCCCCGACCAAGGTTACACACCTCTTTTTGAATTGAATTGAAAAATCCGGTAAAAGTTGACGGCCCTTTTCACATCCCTAAAAATTGTAGAGGAACCGTACGTTTCTAAATAAGAAATTACTCGATGAAGCGATCCCAATGTATTTTTGTGGTTGGAGAATAAGTCATCCATGCTTCTGCAAGTCTTGCATTTCGTGCTATGCATGTTCTTCATAATGTAAAAATGATAATAAACGCTAACGAAACTTTTCAACACCGCACGCCACGCCGTCCACGCTTTCTCACCCTAACCTCACGTTTTCCAAGAAGGCGGCAGTTTTAAATTCAAACGGCTGGATTTATCAATAAACATGTATATATCAGAGATATATACATATATACATATCCATATCTCTGGTATATATGTGTTTATTGACAAAAGAACGCTCTATAAAATGGTTCTAAGCACGAATTGATGCGCCCAGGCGTTTGGCCCCTAGGGCCTCTCAAAGTGACCCTATTTTTTAACTTTCAAAAATTATAACTTCTAAATGAAAAGAGATAGAGAGATGCGGTTTCATTGGATTCAGCGTGGCCGAATTAGTTAAAAAAGTTTTTTAAAAATTTCTTTGGGGACTTTGACTGTTTTGGACCAGTTTACCGCATCGAAATGCAAGTTGTTTGGATTTTGCCCGCAGAGGGCAAACGGCTGGATTTATCGATAAATATGTATATATGTGTTTATTAACAAAAGAACGTTCTATAAAATGGTTCTAAGCACGAATTGATGCGCCCAGGCGTTTGGTCCCTAGGGCCTCTCAAAGTGACCCTATTTTTTGACTTTCAAAAATTCTAACTTCTAATCAAAAAGAGATAGAGAGATGCGGTTTTCACCAATCGATTCAGCGTCCCCAAATTAGTCAGAATTTTTTTTTTTTTTAAATTCATTGGCGACTTTGGTCATTTTCGACTTTTCCAAATTGAATGATCGGTAGATATTAGGTAGGTATTATAAGCTTAAGTATAATAATATAATATCCAGGCGAACTTTTCGTCTAGGATTTGGACGAAAAAATTCATACAGACTAATTTTGGGGCGTAGAAAACGATTATCCAGCCAGATTTGCCAAAAAGTCATTTATTCTACCTGTTTGGGCTTAGTTTACCGCATAGAAATGCAGGGTGCTCTATAAAATGATTCTAAGCACAAATTGATGCGCCTAGGCGTTTGGCCCCTAGGGCCTCTCAAAGTGACCCTATTTTTTGACTTTCAAAAATTCTAACTTCTAAACGAAAAGAGATAGAGAGATGCGGTTTCCACCAATCGATTCAGCGTCCCCAAATTAGTCAGAAAACATTTTTTTTTAATTCATTGGCGACTTTGGTCATTTTCGACTTTTCCAAATTGAATAATCTACCTTATAAGTTTTAATTCTTTGCAGGGTTTAATAATTAATAATTATTAAACAACAAAAACGCATAGAACAAACTAAAAACGCACAGGTATTTGTGAGAAAAAAAATGACTCATAATCGGACTCTGATGGCGGACGACTTCCGTCGTAAATTTATTACATTAAGGAGATACGGCAGGCTCCTTCCTAAGGTTTTTTATTCAAAGGGAGGGAGTAAGGAAGGCAATATATAAATCAGGCTTAATGCCTAATGAATCAAAATTCCGTAGGAGCGTTCTTTTCTCTATAATTTGACAACCCACACAACATTCTGGCTCCGATATTAAGGCCGCTACAACCAAAATTGTGAACCCATGTCGCCACCTGAGAATTAGATTGTTCTATCTCCCAAAATTTAGAGAGAAACAAATAGCAGTTTAAAGTTTAATTCATATACAAATGAAATTTTAAAAAGCTGTTTTTCCGTGTTTAAACTTTAGACTAGTGATGCAACGGTTGCGGGTTTTACGGTTACGGTTACGGTTATCTCTACGGTTACGAATACATTCACGGTTATTAAAAAAAACTGCAGAATTGTGAAAAATAAAGTTTATTGTTTTAAATAAAATTAAAAACACAAAGGTTAAATAATAATTATAATTTATGTAAAACAAAAACAGAATTTCCAATAAAACTATAAAACAAAAGGAAATGAGTAACATTTTAAACTTAAAAACAGTAAAAATAAGTACCTAATATATATATTAAAAAAAAAAAAAAAGTTAATATTCTAAAATCACGGAACGTGTAACACGTTCTCCAGAACGAAAACGGATTTGAAATATGTGGTATATTTGGTAACGTTAAATACTCTTCAATCTCCTTTTTATATGCATTGCCTACAAAAAGTGTTTTATTAGTGAGCATTCACATAAAAGTAGCATACTACGTGCGACGTGGAAGCAGAAAGCATATTCTCATTGTGCTTTTTGCTTCTGGGTAGCATATGCTTACGGGTTACCCGTAAATGCCGTATACGGTTACGGTTAACTGTAAATACCCTATACGGTTAACCGTATAAAATCGAAAACCGTGAATTAACCGTAATCGTAACCGTAACCGTTGCATCACTACTTTAAACTGCTTTGTTCCTCTTTAAATTTTGGGGAAAGAACAATCTAATTCTCACGTGGCGATGTATTTTCGAATCTTCCCTGGCCACCCCAAATATAAATAAATCCCATATATATCTCAAGGATTTTACAAAATTTGTACAAGGATTTTACATTTAATGTAAAATCCTTGTATAAATCTAACCGAACACGAATCTGACTATAGAAAACAATAACTGTTGGTAACATTGCGTTTTAAAATTAATTTGAAAGCCGTTAAAGTGAATCTTGGTGGCGTCCCTTTCTCTATGGGTGGCGTTCATAGATAGACGGTTGCATTTGTTCTTTAATTAGTTGTTCTTTAATTAGTTGTAAAACAATTGTGCAGTTTAGATCGAACCCTCTAGAATCTATTAAAATTCATTCGAATTGAGCCGAAACAGTTCATTTAAATAAACCCCATAAGAATGCAGGACGTTTTAACAATTCCTGACCACGAGGAAACTTGTGAGGATTTGTTCATGGAAGAATACATAAGGTGTTGGTATAAAAACAAAAGAACAGCTAGAAATAAGAATATTAAAGCAGAGATCGACAGAAATGGTTCTACATTGCTCCATAGATGGAAGGAGAATAATTTAGGTAAAAAACAAACTGTTTATTATTCACGCTACGATCCAGTAGGTACAGTTACTGCTACCCGCCATTGCAAGTGATGGTGGGCATCAGTGTTGCCAGTCTAGTACAATTGTACTAGATCTAGTACTTTTTTAATACATTCTATACCCTAGTACCCTTGGATCAAAATCTAGTACTTTTTGATATATAGGCCTAAAAATAAAATAACAATTTTTTACCCTACTTAATTAAAATTATTATAAATTTCAAAACGGATACACGCAAATATTAATACACATTTAGAAACATTGGGCGGTATGATAATAGATGGCGACACCCACCTTGTGGCGAAACCTACTAAACCAACAAACTAAAGAGAGTTGTTGCGCATGACTGTCACTTGTCATTAAAAATTCTGATAGAAACTTTCGGTATTTTAAAAAAAGTGTATATAATTATTAAGTGTATATAATTATTATATAATATTAATAGGGGGATATTTATTATGGAGAAGTAATTATACTATTTATAATATGAAAGTAAAATAGTATTAAATGCAATTAATATATATTACTTTTAAACTAAATGAATAAAAAAAATTTTTCACCCCTCCTTATCTAAAACTTTATTTTTGAGTTCTGAAAATATGGTACTTTTTTTTTTAATCTGGTACTTTTTTAACTGAAAACTAGTACTATTTGAAAATAAGTTCTGGCAACACTGGTGGGCATGCGGACGAAATCGGTCATGGGCCAGGTAAAAACCAAGGTGGTTTTACGTCCGGTTATGTGTGTTTTTCACCTGCCATGCCCGATTTCGTCCGCACGCCCTCTTTCACCTGCAATGCTTTCGCTTTTACCTGCTAACGCGTTCGCAGGTAAAAGCAGACGTTCGCGTATAAAAGCACGTTCGAACGTCTGCTTTTACCCGCGAACGTCTACTTTAATCTGCGAACGTCTGTCTTTATAGTCCAGTCACGTTATCTCCAACTTTTGTATTATAATAGATATTGACATTATTAAAGCCAGGAACCGAGATAATCGCAAAAAACGTATTTTTATGACCTTTGACCTGCAATAACTAACGAAGCGACATAGGTACCTAGTTTTACGGATTTTTGAGACAACCTTTACAACGAAAAAATAAAGGTGTATACGAGTTTTCAGCCTGTTACCTCTCATTGAGCAAAAAAATACCAACGTGACTGGACTATATACAGGGTGTCCGGAAATAAATACAACAAAATTTGGTCACAGATTCTCGAGAGAAATTTAGGAGACACGTATTTTTTAGTTTTGCCAATTGGCCCCCTTTTTCGGAGATACAGCCCCCTAAAAGTCGCCCATAAGAATAGTCGTTTTCTTATATCTCAGAACCCTGTTGTGCGAGAATCACTAAATTTAGTGTACAGGGGTTTTTTGATATGTGGAATCTGATAGTGTTTTTGGTGGGGGGCCCCCTTGAGACACTTTTTTGTAGGCCGCCTTGTCTTTGGAGCCACAAAACTTTGGCTGCATATTTTTTTTTTAATATCAACCCGTAAGGAAGTAATTAAATTCAATTTAGAAACTTTTGTCTTTTAAAATTTTTTTTGTAAAACGTGATGGTTTTGAGAAAAATGGCAAAATGTGATCGAATGCATATCAAGATTCGAATTTCATACGCATGTACATGCGTATGAAATTCGAATCTTGATATAGATAGATAGATTCGAATCTTGATATAGATAGATAGAAATGGCAAAATGTGATCGAATGCATATCGACGTCGATATGCATTCGATCACATTTTGCCATTTCTCTCGAAAACGTTACGTTTTACAAAAAAAATTTCAAAAGACAAAAGTTTCTAAATTGAATTTACTTTCTTACGGGTTGATATTAAAACAAAAAAAACAAATACGCAACCAAAGTTTTGTGGCTCCAAAGACAAGGGGGCCTACAAAAAAGGGTCTCAAGGGGGTCCCCATCCAAAAACCTTAACACTATAGTGTATACCCTGTGTACCAAATTTAGTGATTCTCGTACAACAGGGTTCTGATATAAGAAAAAGACTATTCTTATGGGCGACTTTTAGGGGGCTGTATCTCCTAAAAAGGGGGCCAATTGGCAAAACTAAAAAATACGTGTCCCCTAAATTTCTCTCAAGAATATGTGACCAAATTTAGTTGCATTAATTTCCGGACACCCTGTATAGTCATTTACAGTGTGTCTCACTTTTCATGACTCCCATACTGTAGCTCCGTTATTTGTAATACGATTTTTACACAATTTTGGTCGCTAGTACTTGCCCATCAGGTGATCATGACGCATGAAGAAAATTTAATTTTCACCAGTGGCGTTCGTTGTTATAACAAAAAAACAACAAATTTTTTTAGAAAAATATATTAGGCAATTTTTAAATGGTCTGTTAATAGCATATTGTTATTTAGCATCATCGAAAACCCCCCTATACCAAATATGAAATTGATAGCATACAGGGTGTTGACGTAATTAATAATTAAATCTAACTTATTATAGCACTATACATTAATTATAACATCGGTGAATTTTATCCTATCATTTTTTTTAAGACTTTTATTTTTGGGGCCGTATAAAAAATTTGGATTATAAGGATAGGCCTCAAACGGCGCAACAACTTCGCGAGAGAATAGTACAAGCATGTGCGGAAATCACACCGGCAGAGTTAAGAAAAGTGGTTCAACATAATGTACAACATAATGAACAGTACATTGTACAGTGTGACCCATTTGTTTGTGACTCACCCCTGTAAAATCTTTATTTATTGTGCGATTTTAACCGGATTTGTTTTAAAGTGTAGATCTTGATAAACTGTATTTTTTGAGTAAATAACCCCATATTTTTACAAAATACAAGGCCTACTATGTGAGTTTTTAAGAGTAAATTTTTAAGAATTCATATTAGCGAGTATTAAAAAAAAAATCTATGGACGGCACTAGATTCACCACCCCTCAAAACGGCACTATGCTCAATTTTATTGAAAATTTTTAAATAGGAACGATTTTATAGCCAAATTAAAAATGCACAATAAATACTATTTACAAAAATATACTCTGACAAGTTATCCATGAAAAAAATATTGAAACAAAATTAGTCGCCCATAAGAAAAAGACTATTCTTATGGGCGACTTTTAGGGGGCTGTATCTCCTAAAAAGGGGGCCAATTGGCAAAACTAAAAAATACGTGTCCCCCAAATTTCTCTCAAGAATATGTGACCATTGGATATCTACTGGACATTTGTGCTGTCTGGGACAGGAAATATTTTATTTGTAAAGTCGGCAAACATTGCAGCCATATTTCGTAAGGTTTCTTTCCCAGTGGGTTCAATTTAGGGAATTTGTTTTTATTCTGTGGTTTAATAGTTTGTTTGTATTATTTACAGGCATTTGCAAAATTCCTCCCAGACCCGTTACCTATAGATTTCAACCACCGGTGCTATTTTGGGTTTCTCAACAAAAAAAAGATGAAATGAACAAAATCCATCGACAGTTTGGTCATACAAGATCACAATATAAACGTTTTTTGCTTATTCAAAGATATTGTATCGATAAAAAAAACTATCAGAACCCGAAAAGCGATTTGCAGACCTTTCCTATTTGATGCAGTCGAACATTTTAAATGACATGGAAATTAAATTTCATAGATCATTAATGAAACAAAACACATTGAGAAACATGGCAAGCTGGGTAAGACTTTTAAAATTTATGATAATTTTTATAATTGCAGAAATATTTTTTAGGCGAATCGGCGCATACGAACTCTAGAGGAAACATGCCTCGAGTGGAAAAGCAGGAAAATACCAGATGAAGAATTTATTTTCAAGGTGCTTGAGACACCTAAGATATTTTTGGCCTGGTTAACAAGATGCATCCAGTTAAATGAATCCTTTAAAATTGCTCAGCAACTGAGGGCAAGCAAAATGTTTCAGTACATTTTTGCCATTTTTAAATATATTCAAAGTAACAATCTTGAAGAATCAATATTAAGGGAAATTGATGATTTTATGGAAAAAGTAAAAGGAACAAACTTTAGCAAAACCCTTTTAAAAAATGTTGCTGATATTCATAAATTATCAATTTTTAAGGATTCTTCGATACAGACAAAAATAAAAAATAAAATTATAAAAATATTAAAATCAAAAAAATGGGCGAATCTTTTTGCTTTTCTGTTGAAATCTAGTGTGGAATTTCAAGTTGTTGACTATATTAATGGTTTTCTTTTCAATTTGATAAAAACAGAACTTCATTTTACCAATGATAGGAAATTCTCAAAAAACCTCATAAATTTAAACCCGACCCAGTTGTTAATTTTGAAGAAGGTTCTGGAAAACTTCGCAAAAGAAAGAAAAGATTCCGAAAGTATGAGTGGGTATATAACTTCCTGGGATGAGATAGTGAAGAGTGTTCAAAAGTACACAGGCCAGTATTTCAATTTTAATTTAATTCGGATTGCATCACATAACACGAAAATTATTTCTGGCCAAAAAAAGCTTGTTCTTGTAAATCCGGAAGATTTAAATTTTTTAACCAATAAGGATGTTTTTCTTCGGTTATTGTTTAGAAGTTCAGACAAACTTGTTGAAAAAAAATGTTTCAATGAAAATCCTTATTATGTTTCTATTAAAGGAAAATCTTACGACAATCTGATACAAAGTCTTTTTTCCAAAAAAAAGAGAGCACTACCTTCGGAGGCGTTAATACGTCTTCAAGATAAACTAGACAATTCCTCCGAAAGAGAAGCCTCTCCTAAAATCAGTCCGGTGTTAAGACGAAGTACCCGGAATATAACATCTTTATTTTCTCGTAACGATTATTTCAAGGAAAAAATTCTGAGCGGAACTTCGGAGGGATTAAAAGTTGAAATAATCGAAGGAAAAGGGAGAGGAGTAATTAGTCGCCCATAAGAAAAAGACTATTCTTATGGGCGACTTTTAGGGGGCTGTATCTCCTAAAAAGGGGGCCAATTGGCAAAACTAAAAAATACGTGTCCCCCAAATTTCTCTCAAGAATATGTGACCATTGGATATCTACTGGACATTTGTGCTGTCTGGGACAGGAAATATTTTATTTGTAAAGTCGGCAAACATTGCAGCCATATTTCGTAAGGTTTCTTTCCCAGTGGGTTCAATTTAGGGAATTTGTTTTTATTCTGTGGTTTAATAGTTTGTTTGTATTATTTACAGGCATTTGCAAAATTCCTCCCAGACCCGTTACCTATAGATTTCAACCACCGGTGCTATTTTGGGTTTCTCAACAAAAAAAAGATGAAATAAACAAAATCCATCGACAGTTTGGTCATACAAGATCACAATATAAACGTTTTTTGCTTATTCAAAGATATTGTATCGATAAAAAAAACTATCAGAACCCGAAAAGCGATTTGCAGACCTTTCCTATTTGATGCAGTCGAACATTTTAAATGACATGGAAATTAAATTTCATAGATCATTAATGAAACAAAACACATTGAGAAACATGGCAAGCTGGGTAAGACTTTTAAAATTTATGATAATTTTTATAATTGCAGAAATATTTTTTAGGCGAATCGGCGCATACGAACTCTAGAGGAAACATGCCTCGAGTGGAAAAGCAGGAAAATACCAGATGAAGAATTTATTTTCAAGGTGCTTGAGACACCTAAGATATTTTTGGCCTGGTTAACAAGATGCATCCAGTTAAATGAATCCTTTAAAATTGCTCAGCAACTGAGGGCAAGCAAAATGTTTCAGTACATTTTTGTCATTTTTAAATATATTCAAAGTAACAATCTTGAAGAATCAATATTAAGGGAAATTGATGATTTTATGGAAAAAGTAAAAGGAACAAACTTTAGCAAAACCCTTTTAAAAAATGTTGCTGATATTCATAAATTATCAATTTTTAAGGATTCTTCGATACAGACAAAAATAAAAAATAAAATTATAAAAATATTAAAATCAAAAAAATGGGCGAATCTTTTTGCTTTTCTGTTGAAATCTAGTGTGGAATTTCAAGTTGTTGACTATATTAATGGTTTTCTTTTCAATTTGATAAAAACAGAACTTCATTTTACCAATGATAGGAAATTCTCAAAAAACCTCATAAATTTAAACCCGACCCAGTTGTTAATTTTGAAGAAGGTTCTGGAAAACTTCGCAAAAGAAAGAAAAGATTCCGAAAGTATGAGTGGGTATATAACTTCCTGGGATGAGATAGTGAAGAGTGTTCAAAAGTACACAGGCCAGTATTTCAATTTTAATTTAATTCGGATTGCATCACATAACACGAAAATTATTTCTGGCCAAAAAAAGCTTGTTCTTGTAAATCCGGAAGATTTAAATTTTTTAACCAATAAGGATGTTTTTCTTCGGTTATTGTTTAGAAGTTCAGACAAACTTGTTGAAAAAAAATGTTTCAATGAAAATCCTTATTATGTTTCTATTAAAGGAAAATCTTACGACAATCTGATACAAAGTCTTTTTTCCAAAAAAAAGAGAGCACTACCTTCGGAGGCGTTAATACGTCTTCAAGATAAACTAGACAATTCCTCCGAAAGAGAAGCCTCTCCTAAAATCAGTCCGGTGTTAAGACGAAGTACCCGGAATATAACATCTTTATTTTCTCGTAACGATTATTTCAAGGAAAAAATTCTGAGCGGAACTTCGGAGGGATTAAAAGTTGAAATAATCGAAGGAAAAGGGAGAGGAGTAATTAGTCGCCCATAAGAAAAAGACTATTCTTATGGGCGACTTTTAGGGGGCTGTATCTCCTAAAAAGGGGGCCAATTGGCAAAACTAAAAAATACGTGTCCCCCAAATTTCTCTCAAGAATATGTGACCATTGGATATCTACTGGACATTTGTGCTGTCTGGGACAGGAAATATTTTATTTGTAAAGTCGGCAAACATTGCAGCCATATTTCGTAAGGTTTCTTTCCCAGTGGGTTCAATTTAGGGAATTTGTTTTTATTCTGTGGTTTAATAGTTTGTTTGTATTATTTACAGGCATTTGCAAAATTCCTCCCAGACCCGTTACCTATAGATTTCAACCACCGGTGCTATTTTGGGTTTCTCAACAAAAAAAAGATGAAATGAACAAAATCCATCGACAGTTTGGTCATACAAGATCACAATATAAACGTTTTTTGCTTATTCAAAGATATTGTATCGATAAAAAAAACTATCAGAACCCGAAAAGCGATTTGCAGACCTTTCCTATTTGATGCAGTCGAACATTTTAAATGACATGGAAATTAAATTTCATAGATCATTAATGAAACAAAACACATTGAGAAACATGGCAAGCTGGGTAAGACTTTTAAAATTTATGATAATTTTTATAATTGCAGAAATATTTTTTAGGCGAATCGGCGCATACGAACTCTAGAGGAAACATGCCTCGAGTGGAAAAGCAGGAAAATACCAGATGAAGAATTTATTTTCAAGGTGCTTGAGACACCTAAGATATTTTTGGCCTGGTTAACAAGATGCATCCAGTTAAATGAATCCTTTAAAATTGCTCAGGAACTGAGGGCAAGCAAAATGTTTCAGTACATTTTTGCCATTTTTAAATATATTCAAAGTAACAATCTTGAAGAATCAATATTAAGGGAAATTGATGATTTTATGGAAAAAGTAAAAGGAACAAACTTTAGCAAAACCCTTTTAAAAAATGTTGCTGATATTCATAAATTATCAATTTTTAAGGATTCTTCGATACAGACAAAAATAAAAAATAAAATTATAAAAATATTAAAATCAAAAAAATGGGCGAATCTTTTTGCTTTTCTGTTGAAATCTAGTGTGGAATTTCAAGTTGTTGACCATATTAATGGTTTTCTTTTCAATTTGATAAAAACAGAACTTCATTTTACCAATGATAGGAAATTCTCAAAAAACCTCATAAATTTAAACCCGACCCAGTTGTTAATTTTGAAGAAGGTTCTGGAAAACTTCGCAAAAGAAAGAAAAGATTCCGAAAGTATGAGTGGGTATATAACTTCCTGGGATGAGATAGTGAAGAGTGTTCAAAAGTACACAGGCCAGTATTTCAATTTTAATTTAATTCGGATTGCATCACATAACACGAAAATTATTTCTGGCCAAAAAAAGCTTGTTCTTGTAAATCCGGAAGATTTAAATTTTTTACCAATAAGGATGTTTTTCTTCGGTTATTGTTTAGAAGTTCAGACAAACTTGTTGAAAAAAAATGTTTCAATGAAAATCCTTATTATGTTTCTATTAAAGGAAAATCTTACGACAATCTGATACAAAGTCTTTTTTCCAAAAAAAAGAGAGCACTACCTTCGGAGGCGTTAATACGTCTTCAAGATAAACTAGACAATTCCTCCGAAAGAGAAGCCTCTCCTAAAATCAGTCCGGTGTTAAGACGAAGTACCCGGAATATAACATCTTTATTTTCTCGTAACGATTATTTCAAGGAAAAAATTCTGAGCGGAACTTCGGAGGGATTAAAAGTTGAAATAATCGAAGGAAAAGGGAGAGGAGTAATTAGTCGCCCATAAGAAAAAGACTATTCTTATGGGCGACTTTTAGGGGGCTGTATCTCCTAAAAAGGGGGCCAATTGGCAAAACTAAAAAATACGTGTCCCCCAAATTTCTCTCAAGAATATGTGACCATTGGATATCTACTGGACATTTGTGCTGTCTGGGACAGGAAATATTTTATTTGTAAAGTCGGCAAACATTGCAGCCATATTTCGTAAGGTTTCTTTCCCAGTGGGTTCAATTTAGGGAATTTGTTTTTATTCTGTGGTTTAATAGTTTGTTTGTATTATTTACAGGCATTTGCAAAATTCCTCCCAGACCCGTTACCTATAGATTTCAACCACCGGTGCTATTTTGGGTTTCTCAACAAAAAAAAGATGAAATGAACAAAATCCATCGACAGTTTGGTCATACAAGATCACAATATAAACGTTTTTTGCTTATTCAAAGATATTGTATCGATAAAAAAAACTATCAGAACCCGAAAAGCGATTTGCAGACCTTTCCTATTTGATGCAGTCGAACATTTTAAATGACATGGAAATTAAATTTCATAGATCATTAATGAAACAAAACACATTGAGAAACATGGCAAGCTGGGTAAGACTTTTAAAATTTATGATAATTTTTATAATTGCAGAAATATTTTTTAGGCGAATCGGCGCATACGAACTCTAGAGGAAACATGCCTCGAGTGGAAAAGCAGGAAAATACCAGATGAAGAATTTATTTTCAAGGTGCTTGAGACACCTAAGATATTTTTGGCCTGGTTAACAAGATGCATCCAGTTAAATGAATCCTTTAAAATTGCTCAGCAACTGAGGGCAAGCAAAATGTTTCAGTACATTTTTGCCATTTTTAAATATATTCAAAGTAACAATCTTGAAGAATCAATATTAAGGGAAATTGATGATTTTATGGAAAAAGTAAAAGGAACAAACTTTAGCAAAACCCTTTTAAAAAATGTTGCTGATATTCATAAATTATCAATTTTTAAGGATTCTTCGATACAGACAAAAATAAAAAATAAAATTATAAAAATATTAAAATCAAAAAAATGGGCGAATCTTTTTGCTTTTCTGTTGAAATCTAGTGTGGAATTTCAAGTTGTTGACTATATTAATGGTTTTCTTTTCAATTTGATAAAAACATAACTTCATTTTACCAATGATAGGAAATTCTCAAAAAACCTCATAAATTTAAACCCGACCCAGTTGTTAATTTTGAAGAAGGTTCTGGAAAACTTCGCAAAAGAAAGAAAAGATTCCGAAAGTATGAGTGGGTATATAACTTCCTGGGATGAGATAGTGAAGAGTGTTCAAAAGTACACAGGCCAGTATTTCAATTTTAATTTAATTCGGATTGCATCACATAACACGAAAATTATTTCTGGCCAAAAAAAGCTTGTTCTTGTAAATCCGGAAGATTTAAATTTTTTAACCAATAAGGATGTTTTTCTTCGGTTATTGTTTAGAAGTTCAGACAAACTTGTTGAAAAAAAATGTTTCAATGAAAATCCTTATTATGTTTCTATTAAAGGAAAATCTTACGACAATCTGATACAAAGTCTTTTTTCCAAAAAAAAGAGAGCACTACCTTCGGAGGCGTTAATACGTCTTCAAGATAAACTAGACAATTCCTCCGAAAGAGAAGCCTCTCCTAAAATCAGTCCGGTGTTAAGACGAAGTACCCGGAATATAACATATTTATTTTCTCGTAACGATTATTTCAAGGAAAAAATTCTGAGCGGAACTTCGGAGGGATTAAAAGTTGAAATAATCGAAGGAAAAGGGAGAGGAGTAATTAGTCGCCCATAAGAAAAAGACTATTCTTATGGGCGACTTTTAGGGGGCTGTATCTCCTAAAAAGGGGGCCAATTGGCAAAACTAAAAAATACGTGTCCCCCAAATTTCTCTCAAGAATATGTGACCATTGAATATCTACTGGACATTTGTGCTGTCTGGGACAGGAAATATTTTATTTTGTAAAGTCGGCAAACATTGCAGCCATATTTCGTAAGGTTTCTTTCCCAGTGGGTTCAATTTAGGAAATTTGTTTTTATTCTGTGGTTTAATAGTTTGTTTGTATTATTTACAGGCATTTGCAAAATTCCTCCCAGACCCGTTACCTATAGATTTCAACCACCGGTGCTATTTTGGGTTTCTCAACAAAAAAAAGATGAAATGAACAAAATCCATCGACAGTTTGGTCATACAAGATCACAATATAAACGTTTTTTACTTATTCAAAGATATTGTATCGATAAAAAAAACTATCAGAACCCGAAAAGCGATTTGCAGACCTTTCCTATTTGATGCAGTCGAACATTTTAAATGACATGGAAATTAAATTTCATAGATCATTAATGAAACAAAACACATTGAGAAACATGGCAAGCTGGGTAAGACTTTTAAAATTTATGATAATTTTTATAATTGCAGAAATATTTTTTAGGCGAATCGGCGCATACGAACTCTAGAGGAAACATGCCTCGAGTGGAAAAGCAGGAAAATACCAGATGAAGAATTTATTTTCAAGGTGCTTGAGACACCTAAGATATTTTTGGCCTGGTTAACAAGATGCATCCAGTTAAATGAATCCTTTAAAATTGCTCAGCAACTGAGGGCAAGCAAAATGTTTCAGTACATTTTTGCCATTTTTAAATATATTCAAAGTAACAATCTTGAAGAATCAATATTAAGGGAAATTGATGATTTTATGGAAAAAGTAAAAGGAACAAACTTTAGCAAAACCCTTTTAAAAAATGTTGCTGATATTCATAAATTATCACTTTTTAAGGATTCTTCGATACAGACAAAAATAAAAAATAAAATTATAAAAATATTAAAATCAAAAAAATGGGCGAATCTTTTTGCTTTTCTGTTGAAATCTAGTGTGGAATTTCAAGTTGTTGACTATATTAATGGTTTTCTTTTCAATTTGATAAAAACAGAACTTCATTTTACCAATGATAGGAAATTCTCAAAAAACCTCATAAATTTAAACCCGACCCAGTTGTTAATTTTGAAGAAGGTTCTGGAAAACTTCGCAAAAGAAAGAAAAGATTCCGAAAGTATGAGTGGGTATATAACTTCCTGGGATGAGATAGTGAAGAGTGTTCAAAAGTACACAGGCCAGTATTTCAATTTTAATTTAATTCGGATTGCATCACATAACACGAAAATTATTTCTGGCCAAAAAAAGCTTGTTCTTGTAAATCCGGAAGATTTAAATTTTTTAACCAATAAGGATGTTTTTCTTCGGTTATTGTTTAGAAGTTCAGACAAACTTGTTGAAAAAAAATGTTTCAATGAAAATCCTTATTATGTTTCTATTAAAGGAAAATCTTACGACAATCTGATACAAAGTCTTTTTTCCAAAAAAAAGAGAGCACTACCTTCGGAGGCGTTAATACGTCTTCAAGATAAACTAGACAATTCCTCCGAAAGAGAAGCCTCTCCTAAAATCAGTCCGGTGTTAAGACGAAGTACCCGGAATATAACATCTTTATTTTCTCGTAACGATTATTTTAAGGAAAAAATTCTGAGCGGAACTTCGGAGGGATTAAAAGTTGAAATAATCGAAGGAAAAGGGAGAGGAGTAATTAGTCGCCCATAAGAAAAAGACTATTCTTATGGGCGACTTTTAGGGGGCTGTATCTCCTAAAAAGGGGGCCAATTGGCAAAACTAAAAAATACGTGTCCCCCAAATTTCTCTCAAGAATATGTGACCATTGGATATCTACTGGACATTTGTGCTGTCTGGGACAGGAAATATTTTATTTGTAAAGTCGGCAAACATTGCAGCCATATTTCGTAAGGTTTCTTTCCCAGTGGGTTCAATTTAGGGAATTTGTTTTTATTCTGTGGTTTAATAGTTTGTTTGTATTATTTACAGGCATTTGCAAAATTCCTCCCAGACCCGTTACCTATAGATTTCAACCACCGGTGCTATTTTGGGTTTCTCAACAAAAAAAAAGATGAAATGAACAAAATCCATCGACAGTTTGGTCATACAAGATCACAATATAAACGTTTTTTGCTTATTCAAAGATATTGTATCGATAAAAAAAACTATCAGAACCCGAAAAGCGATTTGCAGATCTTTCCTATTTGATGCAGTCGAACATTTTAAATGACATGGAAATTAAATTTCATAGATCATTAATGAAACAAAACACATTGAGAAACATGGCAAGCTGGGTAAGACTTTTAAAATTTATGATAATTTTTATAATTGCAGAAATATTTTTTAGGCGAATCGGCGCATACGAACTCTAGAGGAAACATGCCTCGAGTGGAAAAGCAGGAAAATACCAGATGAAGAATTTATTTTCAAGGTGCTTGAGACACCTAAGATATTTTTGGCCTGGTTAACAAGATGCATCCAGTTAAATGAATCCTTTAAAATTGCTCAGCAACTGAGGGCAAGCAAAATGTTTCAGTACATTTTTGCCATTTTTAAATATATTCAAAGTAACAATCTTGAAGAATCAATATTAAGGGAAATTGATGATTTTATGGAAAAAGTAAAAGGAACAAACTTTAGCAAAACCCTTTTAAAAAATGTTGCTGATATTCATAAATTATCAATTTTTAAGGATTCTTCGATACAGACAAAAATAAAAAATAAAATTATAAAAATATTAAAATCAAAAAAATGGGCGAATCTTTTTGCTTTTCTGTTGAAATCTAGTGTGGAATTTCAAGTTGTTGACTATATTAATGGTTTTCTTTTCAATTTGATAAAAACAGAACTTCATTTTACCAATGATAGGAAATTCTCAAAAAACCTCATAAATTTAAACCCGACCCAGTTGTTAATTTTAAAGAAGGTTCTGGAAAACTTCGCAAAAGAAAGAAAAGATTCCGAAAGTATGAGTGGGTATATAACTTCCTGGGATGAGATAGTGAAGAGTGTTCAAAAGTACACAGGCCAGTATTTCAATTTTAATTTAATTCGGATTGCATCACATAACACGAAAATTATTTCTGGCCAAAAAAAGCTTGTTCTTGTAAATCCGGAAGATTTAAATTTTTTAACCAATAAGGATGTTTTTCTTCGGTTATTGTTTAGAAGTTCAGACAAACTTGTTGAAAAAAAATGTTTCAATGAAAATCCTTATTATGTTTCTATTAAAGGAAAACCTTACGACAATCTGATACAAAGTCTTTTTTCCAAAAAAAAGAGAGCACTACCTTCGGAGGCGTTAATACGTCTTCAAGATAAACTAGACAATTCCTCCGAAAGAGAAGCCTCTCCTAAAATCAGTCCGGTGTTAAGACGAAGTACCCGGAATATAACATCTTTATTTTCTCGTAACGATTATTTCAAGGAAAAAATTCTGAGCGGAACTTCGGAGGGATTAAAAGTTGAAATAATCGAAGGAAAAGGGAGAGGAGTAATTAGTCGCCCATAAGAAAAAGACTATTCTTATGGGCGACTTTTAGGGGGCTGTATTTCCTAAAAAGGGGGCCAATTGGCAAAACTAAAAAATACGTGTCCCCCAAATTTCTCTCAAGAATATGTGACCATTGGATATCTACTGGACATTTGTGCTGTCTGGGACAGGAAATATTTTATTTGTAAAGTCGGCAAACATTGCAGCCATATTTCGTAAGGTTTCTTTCCCAGTGGGTTCAATTTAGGGAATTTGTTTTTATTCTGTGGTTTAATAGTTTGTTTGTATTATTTACAGGCATTTGCAAAATTCCTCCCAGACCCGTTACCTATAGATTTCAACCACCGGTGCTATTTTGGGTTTCTCAACAAAAAAAAGATGAAATAAACAAAATCCATCGACAGTTTGGTCATACAAGATCACAATATAAACGTTTTTTGCTTATTCAAAGATATTGTATCAATAAAAAAAACTATCAGAACCCGAAAAGCGATTTGCAGACCTTTCCTATTTGATGCAGTCGAACATTTTAAATGACATGGAAATTAAATTTTATAGATCATTAATGAAACAAAACACATTGAGAAACATGGCAAGCTGGGTAAGACTTTTAAAATTTATGATAATTTTTATAATTGCAGAAATATTTTTTAGGCGAATCGGCGCATACGAACTCTAGAGGAAACATGCCTCGAGTGGAAAAGCAGGAAAATACCAGATGAAGAATTTATTTTCAAGGTGCTTGAGACACCTAAGATATTTTTGGCCTGCAAGCTTTCAAGGAAATTAAGGAAAAATTAGTGACAGCTCCAGTTTTAAGTTGTCCAAATTATGGCTTACCTTTCGACGTACAGACGGACGCTTCTGGTTGGGGCATAGCGGCGGTTTTAACACAACCTCATCCATCTGGGTAAAAGTGGTGGCATATTTAAGTAGATCTTTAACAGCGCAAGAGAGGAAATATTCGACAACAGAAAGGGAATGTCTGGCTGTAATATGGGCCCTCGAAAAACTAAGACCCTATCTAGAAGGTGTACCCAATGTAACCGTAATTACCGACCATTACTCGTTGGTGTGGCTTTATAATCTCCATGATGTCAACGGAAGGCTAGCCAGGTGGGCGTTGAGAATGCAGCAGTTTGATGTGAAAATTGTACACAGGAAAGGAAAAGAACATATAGTACCCGATACCTTATCCAGATCTGTACCGGTATTGGATTTTTTAGAGGTTCTAAGTAAGTCGGACAGATGGTTTGTGAATATGTGTAATAAAGTCAAGAAGGATCCTTTAAAATATCCAAATTGGAGATTTGCGGATGACTGTTTGTATAAGTATGTTAAGCCAGAATATTCAAATATGACATCGGACTGGGAAAACTGGAAGAAAGTAGTGCTCAAAGGACAACGTCTTCCGCTGTTGAAAAAATTTCATGAGGATGCCACGTCGGGACATGCAGGAGTTTTTAAAACATGCGCTAGGTTGTTCGAACAATATTACTGGCCAAAACTTAGAAGTGATGTAGCGAGATTTATTAAAAGTTGTACTACGTGTACACAGCATCGCACAGACAATAAGAAACCAGTGGGCTTCATGTTAAGCCACCCAAAAGTAACTCGTCCGTGGGAAATGATTTCATCCGACCTTATGGGACCTATAGTAAAGTCTAATCGTGGAAATAGCTATATTTTAGTTGTAACTGATTATTTTAGTAAATTTTCCCTGATGTTTCCTTTACGTACAGCTACCGGGAAAGTCATAGCGAAGAAGATAGAAGAAGAAGTATTTTTAATGTTTGGAGTTCCAAGAATTGCCATTAGCGATAATGGGCCGCAGTACCGCTCGAAAGAGTATTTAAATCTTTTAAAGGAATATAAAGTAACGCCAAAGTTTAATGCCGCCTATCATGCGCAGGCGAATCCCACCGAAAGGGTAAATCGTACCTTAAAATACATGTTAGCCACATACGTAACTGACAATCATCGGTTATGGGATGTAAATTTACCAAAAATAGCCTGTGCAATTCGTACTGCAAAGAGTGAGACCACCCAACAGTCACCATATTTTATCAATTTCGGAAGATCAATGTTTCTATCGGGAATGGACTACCATCGGAAGGACCTATTTGAGGAGGGTAATGCCGGGGAAATGTTAAATAGAGGCGATGGATTTAAGCAAATTTTTGAGGATGTTAGCAAAAGAATACAACAAGCAGGAGAGAGAAACAAGAAGTACTATGATCTAAGGAGAAGGAGTGAGGAGTTTTGGGTTGGACAAGCGGTTTGGAAAAGGAATTACGTGTTGTCAGATGCTCAGAAATTCTATTCCAAAAAGCTAGCACCCAAGTTTGTTGGGCCATTCTTTATTAAGAAACGGGTTTCGCCATGGACATACGAGATTCAAGACGAGGCAGGTAGACTAAAAGGAACCTTCCACGCTAAAGACCTAAAAGCTCATCCGCCCGAATTTCAGGATAACTAATTTTTTAATTTTTTTTTATTCAACTTTTTTTTTTAAGAAAATAACGGGTTATTTTCTTAAAGTAAGGGGGGAATTTGTAACATTTAAATTTCAGTAATTAAATATTTTGAGAAAAAAATAAATATAATCTTGGGATTTTTAAAATTTAAATAATAAAGCAACCAGTTTGTTTGTAAATAGAGTTTATTTATTAAATTTATTTAAGTTATAAATAAATGTTTTTTTGCTGTGACGTCATACATTCTTTAAATTCCTTTGGAGTTCGTGAATTTTAACCTGAAAAGTAAAATTGTATCAATGGAAATTTTGCGTAAACAGGAAATATTACATTAATGGGCAGTAGTTGCCATTTGTCACTTTACCTACCTTTATATGAATGCTCCAATTCGATCGCTTGGCACGATGATTTTGATCGACAACAGTGTTCTCTAGGTTCCTGAAAATAATAAAAATATATTGTGATGGAAAATACTTAAATGTTTCCTTTTCAATTGATGCTTATTTCCAGTAATATTTTTAGTTATTGTTGGTTGATACTTACATGTTGTGGTTTAATTTGGTTTATTTACTGTCATTTGTTTTGCATAAAAATCACTGTGTTTTTTTTGACGATTACAGTCCATAATGATTTATTTCCCTAAAAATTAATATCCATATTATGAATAATAGTTGGGTATTTGATTAGCGCAGTTAATTGAATCGTTTCTTATGGTGCATTTTTGTAACCCAGGATATTTATTGGCTTATAATTTATTTCCTGTTAAGTATGGGTTCTTTTTCTTTGGAAATTAAAAGACTTAAGGCCGTTTTGTTTGATATTCTATGGTGGTAAAATTTGTGTGGTTTTTTTTCTATTGTCTCATTTTTTAAAATATTTTAAATAATAATTATTAGTAAATTAAAATTTGTTTATGACAATATTCGCGCATGTCTAAAGAAGGTCAAGGAAGTCTTCTAGAAGGAAGTCAGTCCTTTGGTGAATCTTTATCGTTGTGCACATAATTGTTGGAATTTTTGAATTGAACCTTTTTAAAGGGATTTAAGTGCCACGATATTTTTATATAGGAAGAGAGTGTGTTGGATTTTGCAGTTGTGTTGATTTTCGATCTCGATTCCTACAGCGTTTGCTGGATTTTTCAAGATTACCAAAACTAACCACGTAGCCGTCCATCATCTAGGGTTACCAATTGAATTGCAGTTTTTTTTGCTTTGAAAGCCTAAAAGCTGATACCTACCATCGCAGTAAGTCATTTTATTTTTTCCTTCTTCCTTCAGTTCCGCTAATTATTTTATTTGTAGAAACAAGTTTGAAACTTTTCATTTGGAATTTATCTCAAAAGGAAAAAACCCTTCATTGAAGGTATGTTGTATGTAAAGTTAAGGGTTGTTACTTAATAATATTTTTTATAGGGTTTTTTTTTGGGGTTGTTTCCTCGAGTTCTTTTTACATTTTAATATTCTGGAAATTCATTGAAGAAATATATTTGGACGTTTTCTGGCAGGAAAATCTTGAGAGCCGCCGCCATCTTGTATTGAATTTACTTCGGGAATCTTCAGGTGCCGACACTTAAGGTCAGATCTATCCTGTTTTTGCTTTTATATAGTTTTTTTGTTATATCTTTGATATTAAATAGATCTGAAAATAAATTAATTTAAGTTTATTTTAAATAGTTACAATAGAAATATAATAATAATATTACTTACCTATTTTCCCTGTAAATCATTTATAGCTGGCCAGATATAAAAGAGTTTTATTTATTTAAATTAGTCTTGTTATTATATATATATATTTTCTGTCAGACAGATGTTGGTATAAACTTTAATACATATTGCTTCTTGAATTAAACATTTTTTTTTTATTATTGTTTTAAACTTTGCTACTTTTTAATTTTAGTAACAATCACTTATTGTTACTTGGCGCCCAATATATAAGTAAAGGTAAGTAACTCTTTAATAAACTGCCAATCCCAGACCCTGAAAGGCTGAGCTGGTCAGGTTTATAACGATATCGGTCTATTTGTACGTTATAATATTAATGGTTTTCTTTTCAATTTGATAAAAACAGAACTTCATTTTACCAATGATAGGAAATTCTCAAAAAACCTCATAAATTTAAACCCGACCCAGTTGTTAATTTTGAAGAAGGTTCTGGAAAACTTAATAATAATAATATAATAATAATAAACTTTATTGCAAAAAAAAAATATACACAACGCTTGTATACATTTACATTCACAAAGGGTCTAGGTTCAACAAAAGTTGTTCTTCCACCTAAACCATAGAATTAGCTAATAATAATAATTGTTTAAACATGGTATACAATAAAAATAAAACAAAATCAGGTACATTGTTGCTCAAGTAGTACAGTTTTAAGTTGTTTTTTAAAATTGACTACATTATCACAAGTGGAATAGATATTAAAGTACCTATTATAAGTCTTAGGTGCTAAAATTTCAAAACTGTTTTGAAACTTGCTTGTTTTATGAATTGGTATTGAAAATAGTTCATTGCTACGTGTGTTAATATTATGATAAGCTGATAGCCTATTTAATAGCACAAAAATGTAACTAGGTCTATATGATTTAATAACATTAAAAACAAGACAGGCAAATTGTAGTAAAAACATATGCTCACACTTAAGAATATTATGCTGATTAAAAATTGGTGTTACATGCTCACGAATATTTACATTAAAAGAAAACCTAAGGCAGGAGTTTTGTAGTTTTTGTAATTTGTACTTATAAGTTGCAGTTGCAAAATTGTAATACACGCTGCTGCAATAATTCAGTGGACTTAAAATAAGGCTTGTAGATAATTTCCATTTTACATTAGAGTTTAAAAAATTCTTAAAATTATAAATAGATTTTAGTTTGACATAAGCGCTTTTTATTAATTTGCATATATGTTTATTAAAAACAAAGTTTTTGTCAATTAAAATGCCCAGGTTTTTAACAACTTCTTCAAAGATTATCACAGTGTTTTCTAGAAAAATATCACAGGTTTTATTTCTGAGGGTTTTTTGTAACATATTGTTTGAACCTACACATATAGCTACTGTTTTGGTAGCATTTAAAGACAGGCCATTGCACTTTGACCACTCACTTATTGACACTAGATCTTCATTAATTAGTTGGATGGTAGAGTTGATGCTGGAAGGTAAACATGGCAGGTAGAGTTGGGTGTCATCTGCATACTGATGAAATACGCAGTTTGACACTGCATTTTTGAAGTCAGAAGTAAAAATGGAGAACAACATAGGCCCCAGTATACTACCCTGGGGTACTCCTTTGCTGACATATTTATAAGTGGACATTTTTTCACCTAGTTGTACACACTGCTTCCTATCCTTTAAATAGTTTGATAACCACTTAATAACTGATTTGTCAAACCGATAGTAACTAAGTTTTGCCAGGAGTAAATCATGGTTGATTACGTCAAAAGCCTTACTGTAGTCAAGTAACACCATCAAGCTAACTTGAGAGTTGTCCATTGCCCTGGATATATCATTTGATATTTTTAAAAGTGCAGTATTAGTACTACGATCTTTTCTAAAACCAGATTGGTTTTCCGGTAGAACATAGGTTTCAGTATGGTGTGAGATTTGCATTTGTACAATCTTTTCAGTAACTTTTGAAAATATAGGCAATATACTAATTGGCCTGAAGTCTACTGGACCACTTGGCTTATTTACTTTGGGTATTGGTAGTATTTTTGCAGCTTTCCAGAGCTTTGGTACAATTCCATTTGATAGAGATAAATTAATAATATGTGTAATCTGTGGGAGGCAGTGTGGTAATACTATTTTTAACATTTTAAGATCAATGCCATCAACTCCCTGAGCATTCGATTTGAGACTTTGTACAGCCTTTAATACATCACCCTCATACACAGTCTGAAATTTTGCACTCTCATCAACATTGGGTTTTTTATTGTTATTAAAGTATTGAAGAGTATCTTGTGTTACTTCCAGGTTTCCAATTAAGTTTGTAAAAAATTCATTAAGTTCATCAGCACTTACAGAATTTAATGGGACTTCTACAGGTTTTTTTGAGTGTACATTAAGCTTATTTAAGTTATTCCAGAATAGTTTGGAATTTTTGGAGTATTTATTTACATTATGCTCGATGTATGCCTTCTTCTCATTTCTTATTGCTACTATGAGGTAATTTCTCAGCTGTTTGTAGTAATCAAAGTGTGCCATTTTTTTCGTTTTCTGGTACTTTTTATAGGCTTTATTTTTTAGCTTTATTATTTCTTGTATAACTGGTGTAATATAAGGATGCTTGGGTTTACAAATTTTTCGATTTTTTATAGGTGCATGCAGATCAAATAAGCTTAAGATTGCACTATTAAGGAAATTTACTTTTTCATCTATTGGTATTTCTGAATTTATGTAGCTCCAGTTTATTCTAACAGCATCAAAAGAGAAATCCGCCAGATTAAAACTGGAAAAGTCTCTGAAGGTAATTGTGTGTGGGTTGGGTTTATTTGTTGGTATTATAAGTTCGCATTTGATGAGAAGATGATCCGTCATATCTAATAAATCCACTGTGGAGTAGTTAGAGAGTTCTATATTGTTAGAGATACAAATTACATCTATTAAGGTTGCTGAGTAATCTGTGACTCTAGTCGGCTCTTGTATAATTTGTTTTAAATTATATACTTCAAGCATATTTGTAAAATCAGCCTTCATACTGCTATTCTGAAGTAGATTTATATTCAGATCCCCCATTATAATTATATTATTGTTTTCAAGATTCATTTGACAAAGTGCATTTTCCAATTCATTTAGAGTTATTGAATTTTCGGGTGGTCTATAGACAACCGCAAGGCCATACTTAACTTTATTTATAGTAAGCTGTATCCACAATTGCTCCAGTCTATCTTCAACTATATAATCTAATAATTTTTGTTCTACATTAAGACAAGTACGTATATAACAGCACACTCCTCCTCCTCTTTTCTCTCTATCTTTTCTAAACAATATATATCCTGGAATGTAAAGATATTTATCTGAAAAGAAAAAAAAAGAAAGAAAAGATTCCGAAAGTATGAGTGGGTATATAACTTCCTGGGATGAGATAGTGAAGAGTGTTCAAAAGTACACAGGCCAGTATTTCAATTTTAATTTAATTCGGATTGCATCACATAACACGAAAATTATTTCTGGCCAAAAAAAGCTTGTTCTTGTAAATCCGGAAGATTTAAATTTTTTAACCAATAAGGATGTTTTTCTTCGGTTATTGTTTAGAAGTTCAGACAAACTTGTTGAAAAAAAATGTTTCAATGAAAATCCTTATTATGTTTCTATTAAAGGAAAATCTTACGACAATCTGATACAAAGTCTTTTTTCCAAAAAAAAGAGAGCACTACCTTCGGAGGCGTTAATACGTCTTCAAGATAAACTAGACAATTCCTCCGAAAGAGAAGCCTCTCCTAAAATCAGTCCGGTGTTAAGACGAAGTACCCGGAATATAACATCTTTATTTTCTCGTAACGATTATTTTAAGGAAAAAATTCTGAGCGGAACTTCGGAGGGATTAAAAGTTGAAATAATCGAAGGAAAAGGGAGAGGAGTAATTAGTCGCCCATAAGAAAAAGACTATTCTTATGGGCGACTTTTAGGGGGCTGTATCTCCTAAAAAGGGGGCCAATTGGCAAAACTAAAAAATACGTGTCCCCCAAATTTCTCTCAAGAATATGTGACCATTGGATATCTACTGGACATTTGTGCTGTCTGGGACAGGAAATATTTTATTTGTAAAGTCGGCAAACATTGCAGCCATATTTCGTAAGGTTTCTTTCCCAGTGGGTTCAATTTAGGGAATTTGTTTTTATTCTGTGGTTTAATAGTTTGTTTGTATTATTTACAGGCATTTGCAAAATTCCTCCCAGACCCGTTACCTATAGATTTCAACCACCGGTGCTATTTTGGGTTTCTCAACAAAAAAAAAGATGAAATGAACAAAATCCATCGACAGTTTGGTCATACAAGATCACAATATAAACGTTTTTTGCTTATTCAAAGATATTGTATCGATAAAAAAAACTATCAGAACCCGAAAAGCGATTTGCAGATCTTTCCTATTTGATGCAGTCGAACATTTTAAATGACATGGAAATTAAATTTCATAGATCATTAATGAAACAAAACACATTGAGAAACATGGCAAGCTGGGTAAGACTTTTAAAATTTATGATAATTTTTATAATTGCAGAAATATTTTTTAGGCGAATCGGCGCATACGAACTCTAGAGGAAACATGCCTCGAGTGGAAAAGCAGGAAAATACCAGATGAAGAATTTATTTTCAAGGTGCTTGAGACACCTAAGATATTTTTGGCCTGGTTAACAAGATGCATCCAGTTAAATGAATCCTTTAAAATTGCTCAGCAACTGAGGGCAAGCAAAATGTTTCAGTACATTTTTGCCATTTTTAAATATATTCAAAGTAACAATCTTGAAGAATCAATATTAAGGGAAATTGATGATTTTATGGAAAAAGTAAAAGGAACAAACTTTAGCAAAACCCTTTTAAAAAATGTTGCTGATATTCATAAATTATCAATTTTTAAGGATTCTTCGATACAAACAAAAATAAAAAATAAAATTATAAAAATATTAAAATCAAAAAAATGGGCGAATCTTTTTGCTTTTCTGTTGAAATCTAGTGTGGAATTTCAAGTTGTTGACTATATTAATGGTTTTCTTTTCAATTTGATAAAAACAGAACTTCATTTTACCAATGATAGGAAATTCTCAAAAAACCTCATAAATTTAAACCCGACCCAGTTGTTAATTTTGAAGAAGGTTCTGGAAAACTTCGCAAAAGAAAGAAAAGATTCCGAAAGTATGAGTGGGTATATAACTTCCTGGGATGAGATAGTGAAGAGTGTTCAAAAGTACACAGGCCAGTATTTCAATTTTAATTTAATTCGGATTGCATCACATAACACGAAAATTATTTCTGGCCAAAAAAAGCTTGTTCTTGTAAATCCGGAAGATTTAAATTTTTTAACCAATAAGGATGTTTTTCTTCGGTTATTGTTTAGAAGTTCAGACAAACTTGTTGAAAAAAAATGTTTCAATGAAAATCCTTATTATGTTTCTATTAAAGGAAAATCTTACGACAATCTGATACAAAGTCTTTTTTCCAAAAAAAAGAGAGCACTACCTTCGGAGGCGTTAATACGTCTTCAAGATAAACTAGACAATTCCTCCGAAAGAGAAGCCTCTCCTAAAATCAGTCCGGTGTTAAGACGAAGTACCCGGAATATAACATCTTTATTTTCTCGTAACGATTATTTCAAGGAAAAAATTCTGAGCGGAACTTCGGAGGGATTAAAAGTTGAAATAATCGAAGGAAAAGGGAGAGGAGTAATTAGTCGCCCATAAGAAAAAGACTATTCTTATGGGCGACTTTTAGGGGGCTGTATCTCCTAAAAAGGGGGCCAATTGGCAAAACTAAAAAATACGTGTCCCCCAAATTTCTCTCAAGAATATGTGACCATTGGATATCTACTGGACATTTGTGCTGTCTGGGACAGGAAATATTTTATTTGTAAAGTCGGCAAACATTGCAGCCATATTTCGTAAGGTTTCTTTCCCAGTGGGTTCAATTTAGGGAATTTGTTATTATTCTGTGGTTTAATAGTTTGTTTGTATTATTTACAGGCATTTGCAAAATTCCTCCCAGACCCGTTACCTATAGATTTCAACCACCGGTGCTATTTTGGGTTTCTCAACAAAAAAAAGATGAAATGAACAAAATCCATCGACAGTTTGGTCATACAAGATCACAATATAAACGTTTTTTGCTTATTCAAAGATATTGTATCGATAAAAAAAACTATCAGAACCCGAAAAGCGATTTGCAGACCTTTCCTATTTGATGCAGTCGAACATTTTAAATGACATGGAAATTAAATTTCATAGATCATTAATGAAACAAAACACATTGAGAAACATGGCAAGCTGGGTAAGACTTTTAAAATTTATGATAATTTTTATAATTGCAGAAATATTTTTTAGGCGAATCGGCGCATACGAACTCTAGAGGAAACATGCCTCGAGTGGAAAAGCAGGAAAATACCAGATGAAGAATTTATTTTCAAGGTGCTTGAGACACCTAAGATATTTTTGGCCTGGTTAACAAGATGCATCCAGTTAAATGAATCCTTTAAAATTGCTCAGCAACTGAGGGCAAGCAAAATGTTTCAGTACATTTTTGCCATTTTTAAATATATTCAAAGTAACAATCTTGAAGAATCAATATTAAGGGAAATTGATGATTTTATGGAAAAAGTAAAAGGAACAAACTTTAGCAAAACCCTTTTAAAAAATGTTGCTGATATTCATAAATTATCAATTTTTAAGGATTCTTCGATACAGACAAAAATAAAAAATAAAATTATAAAAATATTAAAATCAAAAAAATGGGCGAATCTTTTTGCTTTTCTGTTGAAATCTAGTGTGGAATTTCAAGTTGTTGACTATATTAATGGTTTTCTTTTCAATTTGATAAAAACATAACTTCATTTTACCAATGATAGGAAATTCTCAAAAAACCTCATAAATTTAAACCCGACCCAGTTGTTAATTTTGAAGAAGGTTCTGGAAAACTTCGCAAAAGAAAGAAAAGATTCCGAAAGTATGAGTGGGTATATAACTTCCTGGGATGAGATAGTGAAGAGTGTTCAAAAGTACACAGGCCAGTATTTCAATTTTAATTTAATTCGGATTGCATCACATAACACGAAAATTATTTCTGGCCAAAAAAAGCTTGTTCTTGTAAATCCGGAAGATTTAAATTTTTTACCAATAAGGATGTTTTTCTTCGGTTATTGTTTAGAAGTTCAGACAAACTTGTTGAAAAAAAATGTTTCAATGAAAATCCTTATTATGTTTCTATTAAAGGAAAATCTTACGACAATCTGATACAAAGTCTTTTTTCCAAAAAAAAGAGAGCACTACCTTCGGAGGCGTTAATACGTCTTCAAGATAAACTAGACAATTCCTCCGAAAGAGAAGCCTCTCCTAAAATCAGTCCGGTGTTAAGACGAAGTACCCGGAATATAACATCTTTATTTTCTCGTAACGATTATTTCAAGGAAAAAATTCTGAGCGGAACTTCGGAGGGATTAAAAGTTGAAATAATCGAAGGAAAAGGGAGAGGAGTAATTAGTCGCCCATAAGAAAAAGACTATTCTTATGGGCGACTTTTAGGGGGCTGTATCTCCTAAAAAGGGGGCCAATTGGCAAAACTAAAAAATACGTGTCCCCCAAATTTCTCTCAAGAATATGTGACCATTGGATATCTACTGGACATTTGTGCTGTCTGGGACAGGAAATATTTTATTTGTAAAGTCGGCAAACATTGCAGCCATATTTCGTAAGGTTTCTTTCCCAGTGGGTTCAATTTAGGGAATTTGTTTTTATTCTGTGGGTTAATAGTTTGTTTGTATTATTTACAGGCATTTGCAAAATTCCTCCCAGACCCGTTACCTATAGATTTCAACCACCGGTGCTATTTTGGGTTTCTCAACAAAAAAAAGATGAAATGAACAAAATCCATCGACAGTTTGGTCATACAAGATCACAATATAAACGTTTTTTGCTTATTCAAAGATATTGTATCGATAAAAAAAACTATCAGAACCCGAAAAGCGATTTGCAGACCTTTCCTATTTGATGCAGTCGAACATTTTAAATGACATGGAAATTAAATTTCATAGATCATTAATGAAACAAAACACATTGAGAAACATGGCAAGCTGGGTAAGACTTTTAAAATTTATGATAATTTTTATAATTGCAGAAATATTTTTTAGGCGAATCGGCGCATACGAACTCTAGAGGAAACATGCCTCGAGTGGAAAAGCAGGAAAATACCAGATGAAGAATTTATTTTCAAGGTGCTTGAGACACCTAAGATATTTTTGGCCTGGTTAACAAGATGCATCCAGTTAAATGAATCCTTTAAAATTGCTCAGCAACTGAGGGCAAGCAAAATGTTTCAGTACATTTTTGCCATTTTTAAATATATTCAAAGTAACAATCTTGAAGAATCAATATTAAGGGAAATTGATGATTTTATGGAAAAAGTAAAAGGAACAAACTTTAGCAAAACCCTTTTAAAAAATGTTGCTGATATTCATAAATTATCAATTTTTAAGGATTCTTCGATACAGACAAAAATAAAAAATAAAATTATAAAAATATTAAAATCAAAAAAATGGGCGAATCTTTTTGCTTTTCTGTTGAAATCTAGTGTGGAATTTCAAGTTGTTGACTATATTAATGGTTTTCTTTTCAATTTGATAAAAACAGAACTTCATTTTACCAATGATAGGAAATTCTCAAAAAACCTCATAAATTTAAACCCGACCCAGTTGTTAATTTTGAAGAAGGTTCTGGAAAACTTCGCAAAAGAAAGAAAAGATTCCGAAAGTATGAGTGGGTATATAACTTCCTGGGATGAGATAGTGAAGAGTGTTCAAAAGTACACAGGCCAGTATTTCAATTTTAATTTAATTCGGATTGCATCACATAACACGAAAATTATTTCTGGCCAAAAAAAGCTTGTTCTTGTAAATCCGGAAGATTTAAATTTTTTACCAATAAGGATGTTTTTCTTCGGTTATTGTTTAGAAGTTCAGACAAACTTGTTGAAAAAAAATGTTTCAATGAAAATCCTTATTATGTTTCTATTAAAGGAAAATCTTACGACAATCTGATACAAAGTCTTTTTTCCAAAAAAAAGAGAGCACTACCTTCGGAGGCGTTAATACGTCTTCAAGATAAACTAGACAATTCCTCCGAAAGAGAAGCCTCTCCTAAAATCAGTCCGGTGTTAAGACGAAGTACCCGGAATATAACATCTTTATTTTCTCGTAACGATTATTTCAAGGAAAAAATTCTGAGCGGAACTTCGGAGGGATTAAAAGTTGAAATAATCGAAGGAAAAGGGAGAGGAGTAATTAGTCGCCCATAAGAAAAAGACTATTCTTATGGGCGACTTTTAGGGGGCTGTATCTCCTAAAAAGGGGGCCAATTGGCAAAACTAAAAAATACGTGTCCCCCAAATTTCTCTCAAGAATATGTGACCATTGGATATCTACTGGACATTTGTGCTGTCTGGGACAGGAAATATTTTATTCGTAAAGTCGGCAAACATTGCAGCCATATTTCGTAAGGTTTCTTTCCCAGTGGGTTCAATTTAGGGAATTTGTTTTTATTCTGTGGTTTAATAGTTTGTTTGTATTATTTACAGGCATTTGCAAAATTCCTCCCAGACCCGTTACCTATAGATTTCAACCACCGGTGCTATTTTGGGTTTCTCAACAAAAAAAAGATGAAATGAACAAAATCCATCGACAGTTTGGTCATACAAGATCACAATATAAACGTTTTTTGCTTATTCAAAGATATTGTATCGATAAAAAAAACTATCAGAACCCGAAAAGCGATTTGCAGACCTTTCCTATTTGATGCAGTCGAACATTTTAAATGACATGGAAATTAAATTTCATAGATCATTAATGAAACAAAACACATTGAGAAACATGGCAAGCTGGGTAAGACTTTTAAAATTTATGATAATTTTTATAATTGCAGAAATATTTTTTAGGCGAATCGGCGCATACGAACTCTAGAGGAAACATGCCTCGAGTGGAAAAGCAGGAAAATACCAGATGAAGAATTTATTTTCAAGGTGCTTGAGACACCTAAGATATTTTTGGCCTGGTTAACAAGATGCATCCAGTTAAATGAATCCTTTAAAATTGCTCAGCAACTGAGGGCAAGCAAAATGTTTCAGTACATTTTTGCCATTTTTAAATATATTCAAAGTAACAATCTTGAAGAATCAATATTAAGGGAAATTGATGATTTTATGGAAAAAGTAAAAGGAACAAACTTTAGCAAAACCCTTTTAAAAAATGTTGCTGATATTCATAAATTATCAATTTTTAAGGATTCTTCGATACAGACAAAAATAAAAAATAAAATTATAAAAATATTAAAATCAAAAAAATGGGCGAATCTTTTTGCTTTTCTGTTGAAATCTAGTGTGGAATTTCAAGTTGTTGACTATATTAATGGTTTTCTTTTCAATTTGATAAAAACATAACTTCATTTTACCAATGATAGGAAATTCTCAAAAAACCTCATAAATTTAAACCCGACCCAGTTGTTAATTTTGAAGAAGGTTCTGGAAAACTTCGCAAAAGAAAGAAAAGATTCCGAAAGTATGAGTGGGTATATAACTTCCTGGGATGAGATAGTGAAGAGTGTTCAAAAGTACACAGGCCAGTATTTCAATTTTAATTTAATTCGGATTGCATCACATAACACGAAAATTATTTCTGGCCAAAAAAAGCTTGTTCTTGTAAATCCGGAAGATTTAAATTTTTTACCAATAAGGATGTTTTTCTTCGGTTATTGTTTAGAAGTTCAGACAAACTTGTTGAAAAAAAATGTTTCAATGAAAATCCTTATTATGTTTCTATTAAAGGAAAATCTTACGACAATCTGATACAAAGTCTTTTTTCCAAAAAAAAGAGAGCACTACCTTCGGAGGCGTTAATACGTCTTCAAGATAAACTAGACAATTCCTCCGAAAGAGAAGCCTCTCCTAAAATCAGTCCGGTGTTAAGACGAAGTACCCGGAATATAACATCTTTATTTTCTCGTAACGATTATTTCAAGGAAAAAATTCTGAGCGGAACTTCGGAGGGATTAAAAGTTGAAATAATCGAAGGAAAAGGGAGAGGAGTAATTAGTCGCCCATAAGAAAAAGACTATTCTTATGGGCGACTTTTAGGGGGCTGTATCTCCTAAAAAGGGGGCCAATTGGCAAAACTAAAAAATACGTGTCCCCCAAATTTCTCTCAAGAATATGTGACCATTGGATATCTACTGGACATTTGTGCTGTCTGGGACAGGAAATATTTTATTTGTAAAGTCGGCAAACATTGCAGCCATATTTCGTAAGGTTTCTTTCCCAGTGGGTTCAATTTAGGGAATTTGTTTTTATTCTGTGGTTTAATAGTTTGTTTGTATTATTTACAGGCATTTGCAAAATTCCTCCCAGACCCGTTACCTATAGATTTCAACCACCGGTGCTATTTTGGGTTTCTCAACAAAAAAAAGATGAAATGAACAAAATCCATCGACAGTTTGGTCATACAAGATCACAATATAAACGTTTTTTGCTTATTCAAAGATATTGTATCGATAAAAAAAACTATCAGAACCCGAAAAGCGATTTGCAGACCTTTCCTATTTGATGCAGTCGAACATTTTAAATGACATGGAAATTAAATTTTATAGATCATTAATGAAACAAAACACATTGAGAAACATGGCAAGCTGGGTAAGACTTTTAAAATTTATGATAATTTTTATAATTGCAGAAATATTTTTTAGGCGAATCGGCGCATACGAACTCTAGAGGAAACATGCCTCGAGTGGAAAAGCAGGAAAATACCAGATGAAGAATTTATTTTCAAGGTGCTTGAGACACCTAAGATATTTTTGGCCTGGTTAACAAGATGCATCCAGTTAAATGAATCCTTTAAAATTGCTCAGCAACTCTTGGCAAGCAAAATGTTTCAGTACATTTTTGCCATTTTTAAATATATTCAAAGTAACAATCTTGAAGAATCAATATTAAGGGAAATTGATGATTTTATGGAAAAAGTAAAAGGAACAAACTTTAGCAAAACCCTTTTAAAAAATGTTGCTGATATTCATAAATTATCAATTTTTAAGGATTCTTCGATACAGACAAAAATAAAAAATAAAATTATAAAAATATTAAAATCAAAAAAATGGGCGAATCTTTTTGCTTTTCTGTTGAAATCTAGTGTGGAATTTCAAGTTGTTGACTATATTAATGGTTTTCTTTTCAATTTGATAAAAACATAACTTCATTTTACCAATGATAGGAAATTCTCAAAAAACCTCATAAATTTAAACCCGACCCAGTTGTTAATTTTGAAGAAGGTTCTGGAAAACTTCGCAAAAGAAAGAAAAGATTCCGAAAGTATGAGTGGGTATATAACTTCCTGGGATGAGATAGTGAAGAGTGTTCAAAAGTACACAGGCCAGTATTTCAATTTTAATTTAATTCGGATTGCATCACATAACACGAAAATTATTTCTGGCCAAAAAAAGCTTGTTCTTGTAAATCCGGAAGATTTAAATTTTTTACCAATAAGGATGTTTTTCTTCGGTTATTGTTTAGAAGTTCAGACAAACTTGTTGAAAAAAAATGTTTCAATGAAAATCCTTATTATGTTTCTATTAAAGGAAAATCTTACGACAATCTGATACAAAGTCTTTTTTCCAAAAAAAAGAGAGCACTACCTTCGGAGGCGTTAATACGTCTTCAAGATAAACTAGACAATTCCTCCGAAAGAGAAGCCTCTCCTAAAATCAGTCCGGTGTTAAGACGAAGTACCCGGAATATAACATCTTTATTTTCTCGTAACGATTATTTCAAGGAAAAAATTCTGAGCGGAACTTCGGAGGGATTAAAAGTTGAAATAATCGAAGGAAAAGGGAGAGGAGTAATTAGTCGCCCATAAGAAAAAGACTATTCTTATGGGCGACTTTTAGGGGGCTGTATCTCCTAAAAAGGGGGCCAATTGGCAAAACTAAAAAATACGTGTCCCCCAAATTTCTCTCAAGAATATGTGACCATTGGATATCTACTGGACATTTGTGCTGTCTGGGACAGGAAATATTTTATTTGTAAAGTCGGCAAACATTGCAGCCATATTTCGTAAGGTTTCTTTCCCAGTGGGTTCAATTTAGGGAATTTGTTTTTATTCTGTGGTTTAATAGTTTGTTTGTATTATTTACAGGCATTTGCAAAATTCCTCCCAGACCCGTTACCTATAGATTTCAACCACCGGTGCTATTTTGGGTTTCTCAACAAAAAAAAGATGAAATGAACAAAATCCATCGACAGTTTGGTCATACAAGATCACAATATAAACGTTTTTTGCTTATTCAAAGATATTGTATCGATAAAAAAAACTATCAGAACCCGAAAAGCGATTTGCAGACCTTTCCTATTTGATGCAGTCGAACATTTTAAATGACATGGAAATTAAATTTCATAGATCATTAATGAAACAAAACACATTGAGAAACATGGCAAGCTGGGTAAGACTTTTAAAATTTATGATAATTTTTATAATTGCAGAAATATTTTTTAGGCGAATCGGCGCATACGAACTCTAGAGGAAACATGCCTCGAGTGGAAAAGCAGGAAAATACCAGATGAAGAATTTATTTTCAAGGTGCTTGAGACACCTAAGATATTTTTGGCCTGGTTAACAAGATGCATCCAGTTAAATGAATCCTTTAAAATTGCTCAGCAACTGAGGGCAAGCAAAATGTTTCAGTACATTTTTGCCATTTTTAAATATATTCAAAGTAACAATCTTGAAGAATCAATATTAAGGGAAATTGATGATTTTATGGAAAAAGTAAAAGGAACAAACTTTAGCAAAACCCTTTTAAAAAATGTTGCTGATATTCATAAATTATCAATTTTTAAGGATTCTTCGATACAGACAAAAATAAAAAATAAAATTATAAAAATATTAAAATCAAAAAAATGGGCGAATCTTTTTGCTTTTCTGTTGAAATCTAGTGTGGAATTTCAAGTTGTTGACTATATTAATGGTTTTCTTTTCAATTTGATAAAAACATAACTTCATTTTACCAATGATAGGAAATTCTCAAAAAACCTCATAAATTTAAACCCGACCCAGTTGTTAATTTTGAAGAAGGTTCTGGAAAACTTCGCAAAAGAAAGAAAAGATTCCGAAAGTATGAGTGGGTATATAACTTCCTGGGATGAGATAGTGAAGAGTGTTCAAAAGTACACAGGCCAGTATTTCAATTTTAATTTAATTCGGATTGCATCACATAACACGAAAATTATTTGTGGCCAAAAAAAGCTTGTTCTTGTAAATCCGGAAGATTTAAATTTTTTAACCAATAAGGATGTTTTTCTTCGGTTATTGTTTAGAAGTTCAGACAAACTTGTTGAAAAAAAATGTTTCAATGAAAATCCTTATTATGTTTCTATTAAAGGAAAATCTTACGACAATCTGATACAAAGTCTTTTTTCCAAAAAAAAGAGAGCACTACCTTCGGAGGCGTTAATACGTCTTCAAGATAAACTAGACAATTCCTCCGAAAGAGAAGCCTCTCCTAAAATCAGTCCGGTGTTAAGACGAAGTACCCGGAATATAACATATTTATTTTCTCGTAACGATTATTTCAAGGAAAAAATTCTGAGCGGAACTTCGGAGGGATTAAAAGTTGAAATAATCGAAGGAAAAGGGAGAGGAGTAATTAGTCGCCCATAAGAAAAAGACTATTCTTATGGGCGACTTTTAGGGGGCTGTATCTCCTAAAAAGGGGGCCAATTGGCAAAACTAAAAAATACGTGTCCCCCAAATTTCTCTCAAGAATATGTGACCATTGAATATCTACTGGACATTTGTGCTGTCTGGGACAGGAAATATTTTATTTTGTAAAGTCGGCAAACATTGCAGCCATATTTCGTAAGGTTTCTTTCCCAGTGGGTTCAATTTAGGAAATTTGTTTTTATTCTGTGGTTTAATAGTTTGTTTGTATTATTTACAGGCATTTGCAAAATTCCTCCCAGACCCGTTACCTATAGATTTCAACCACCGGTGCTATTTTGGGTTTCTCAACAAAAAAAAGATGAAATGAACAAAATCCATCGACAGTTTGGTCATACAAGATCACAATATAAACGTTTTTTACTTATTCAAAGATATTGTATCGATAAAAAAAACTATCAGAACCCGAAAAGCGATTTGCAGACCTTTCCTATTTGATGCAGTCGAACATTTTAAATGACATGGAAATTAAATTTCATAGATCATTAATGAAACAAAACACATTGAGAAACATGGCAAGCTGGGTAAGACTTTTAAAATTTATGATAATTTTTATAATTGCAGAAATATTTTTTAGGCGAATCGGCGCATACGAACTCTAGAGGAAACATGCCTCGAGTGGAAAAGCAGGAAAATACCAGATGAAGAATTTATTTTCAAGGTGCTTGAGACACCTAAGATATTTTTGGCCTGGTTAACAAGATGCATCCAGTTAAATGAATCCTTTAAAATTGCTCAGCAACTGAGGGCAAGCAAAATGTTTCAGTACATTTTTGCCATTTTTAAATATATTCAAAGTAACAATCTTGAAGAATCAATATTAAGGGAAATTGATGATTTTATGGAAAAAGTAAAAGGAACAAACTTTAGCAAAACCCTTTTAAAAAATGTTGCTGATATTCATAAATTATCAATTTTTAAGGATTCTTCGATACAGACAAAAATAAAAAATAAAATTATAAAAATATTAAAATCAAAAAAATGGGCGAATCTTTTTGCTTTTCTGTTGAAATCTAGTGTGGAATTTCAAGTTGTTGACTATATTAATGGTTTTCTTTTCAATTTGATAAAAACAGAACTTCATTTTACCAATGATAGGAAATTCTCAAAAAACCTCATAAATTTAAACCCGACCCAGTTGTTAATTTTGAAGAAGGTTCTGGAAAACTTCGCAAAAGAAAGAAAAGATTCCGAAAGTATGAGTGGGTATATAACTTCCTGGGATGAGATAGTGAAGAGTGTTCAAAAGTACACAGGCCAGTATTTCAATTTTAATTTAATTCGGATTGCATCACATAACACGAAAATTATTTCTGGCCAAAAAAAGCTTGTTCTTGTAAATCCGGAAGATTTAAATTTTTTAACCAATAAGGATGTTTTTCTTCGGTTATTGTTTAGAAGTTCAGACAAACTTGTTGAAAAAAAATGTTTCAATGAAAATCCTTATTATGTTTCTATTAAAGGAAAATCTTACGACAATCTGATACAAAGTCTTTTTTCCAAAAAAAAGAGAGCACTACCTTCGGAGGCGTTAATACGTCTTCAAGATAAACTACACAATTCCTCCGAAAGAGAAGCCTCTCCTAAAATCAGTCCGGTGTTAAGACGAAGTACCCGGAATATAACATCTTTATTTTCTCGTAACGATTATTTCAAGGAAAAAATTCTGAGCGGAACTTCGGAGGGATTAAAAGTTGAAATAATCGAAGGAAAAGGGAGAGGAGTAATTAGTCGCCCATAAGAAAAAGACTATTCTTATGGGCGACTTTTAGGGGGCTGTATCTCCTAAAAAGGGGGCCAATTGGCAAAACTAAAAAATACGTGTCCCCCAAATTTCTCTCAAGAATATGTGACCATTGGATATCTACTGGACATTTGTGCTGTCTGGGACAGGAAATATTTTATTTGTAAAGTCGGCAAACATTGCAGCCATATTTCGTAAGGTTTCTTTCCCAGTGGGTTCAATTTAGGGAATTTGTTTTTATTCTGTGGTTTAATAGTTTGTTTGTATTATTTACAGGCATTTGCAAAATTCCTCCCAGACCCGTTACCTATAGATTTCAACCACCGGTGCTATTTTGGGTTTCTCAACAAAAAAAAGATGAAATGAACAAAATCCATCGACAGTTTGGTCATACAAGATCACAATATAAACGTTTTTTGCTTATTCAAAGATATTGTATCGATAAAAAAAACTATCAGAACCCGAAAAGCGATTTGCAGACCTTTCCTATTTGATGCAGTCGAACATTTTAAATGACATGGAAATTAAATTTCATAGATCATTAATGAAACAAAACACATTGAGAAACATGGCAAGCTGGGTAAGACTTTTAAAATTTATGATAATTTTTATAATTGCAGAAATATTTTTTAGGCGAATCGGCGCATACGAACTCTAGAGGAAACATGCCTCGAGTGGAAAAGCAGGAAAATACCAGATGAAGAATTTATTTTCAAGGTGCTTGAGACACCTAAGATATTTTTGGCCTGGTTAACAAGATGCATCCAGTTAAATGAATCCTTTAAAATTGCTCAGCAACTGAGGGCAAGCAAAATGTTTCAGTACATTTTTGCCATTTTTAAATATATTCAAAGTAACAATCTTGAAGAATCAATATTAAGGGAAATTGATGATTTTATGGAAAAAGTAAAAGGAACAAACTTTAGCAAAACCCTTTTAAAAAATGTTGCTGATATTCATAAATTATCAATTTTTAAGGATTCTTCGATACAGACAAAAATAAAAAATAAAATTATAAAAATATTAAAATCAAAAAAATGGGCGAATCTTTTTGCTTTTCTGTTGAAATCTAGTGTGGAATTTCAAGTTGTTGACTATATTAATGGTTTTCTTTTCAATTTGATAAAAACAGAACTTCATTTTACCAATGATAGGAAATTCTCAAAAAACCTCATAAATTTAAACCCGACCCAGTTGTTAATTTTGAAGAAGGTTCTGGAAAACTTCGCAAAAGAAAGAAAAGATTCCGAAAGTATGAGTGGGTATATAACTTCCTGGGATGAGATAGTGAAGAGTGTTCAAAAGTACACAGGCCAGTATTTCAATTTTAATTTAATTCGGATTGCATCACATAACACGAAAATTATTTCTGGCCAAAAAAAGCTTGTTCTTGTAAATCCGGAAGATTTAAATTTTTTAACCAATAAGGATGTTTTTCTTCGGTTATTGTTTAGAAGTTCAGACAAACTTGTTGAAAAAAAATGTTTCAATGAAAATCCTTATTATGTTTCTATTAAAGGAAAACCTTACGACAATCTGATACAAAGTCTTTTTTCCAAAAAAAAGAGAGCACTACCTTCGGAGGCGTTAATACGTCTTCAAGATAAACTAGACAATTCCTCCGAAAGAGAAGCCTCTCCTAAAATCAGTCCGGTGTTAAGACGAAGTACCCGGAATATAACATCTTTATTTTCTCGTAACGATTATTTCAAGGAAAAAATTCTGAGCGGAACTTCGGAGGGATTAAAAGTTGAAATAATCGAAGGAAAAGGGAGAGGAGTAATTAGTCGCCCATAAGAAAAAGACTATTCTTATGGGCGACTTTTAGGGGGCTGTATTTCCTAAAAAGGGGGCCAATTGGCAAAACTAAAAAATACGTGTCCCCCAAATTTCTCTCAAGAATATGTGACCATTGGATATCTACTGGACATTTGTGCTGTCTGGGACAGGAAATATTTTATTTGTAAAGTCGGCAAACATTGCAGCCATATTTCGTAAGGTTTCTTTCCCAGTGGGTTCAATTTAGGGAATTTGTTTTTATTCTGTGGTTTAATAGTTTGTTTGTATTATTTACAGGCATTTGCAAAATTCCTCCCAGACCCGTTACCTATAGATTTCAACCACCGGTGCTATTTTGGGTTTCTCAACAAAAAAAAGATGAAATAAACAAAATCCATCGACAGTTTGGTCATACAAGATCACAATATAAACGTTTTTTGCTTATTCAAAGATATTGTATCAATAAAAAAAACTATCAGAACCCGAAAAGCGATTTGCAGACCTTTCCTATTTGATGCAGTCGAACATTTTAAATGACATGGAAATTAAATTTTATAGATCATTAATGAAACAAAACACATTGAGAAACATGGCAAGCTGGGTAAGACTTTTAAAATTTATGATAATTTTTATAATTGCAGAAATATTTTTTAGGCGAATCGGCGCATACGAACTCTAGAGGAAACATGCCTCGAGTGGAAAAGCAGGAAAATACCAGATGAAGAATTTATTTTCAAGGTGCTTGAGACACCTAAGATATTTTTGGCCTGCAAGCTTTCAAGGAAATTAAGGAAAAATTAGTGACAGCTCCAGTTTTAAGTTGTCCAAATTATGGCTTACCTTTCGACGTACAGACGGACGCTTCTGGTTGGGGCATAGCGGCGGTTTTAACACAACCTCATCCATCTGGGTAAAAGTGGTGGCATATTTAAGTAGATCTTTAACAGCGCAAGAGAGGAAATATTCGACAACAGAAAGGGAATGTCTGGCTGTAATATGGGCCCTCGAAAAACTAAGACCCTATCTAGAAGGTGTACCCAATGTAACCGTAATTACCGACCATTACTCGTTGGTGTGGCTTTATAATCTCCATGATGTCAACGGAAGGCTAGCCAGTTGGGCGTTGAGAATGCAGCAGTTTGATGTGAAAATTGTACACAGGAAAGGAAAAGAACATATAGTACCCGATACCTTATCCAGATCTGTACCGGTATTGGATTTTTTAGAGGTTCTAAGTAAGTCGGACAGATGGTTTGTGAATATGTGTAATAAAGTCAAGAAGGATCCTTTAAAATATCCAAATTGGAGATTTGCGGATGACTGTTTGTATAAGTATGTTAAGCCAGAATATTCAAATATGACATCGGACTGGGAAAACTGGAAGAAAGTAGTGCTCAAAGGACAACGTCTTCCGCTGTTGAAAAAATTTCATGAGGATGCCACGTCGGGACATGCAGGAGTTTTTAAAACATGCGCTAGGTTGTTCGAACAATATTACTGGCCAAAACTTAGAAGTGATGTAGCGAGATTTATTAAAAGTTGTACTACGTGTACACAGCATCGCACAGACAATAAGAAACCAGTGGGCTTCATGTTAAGCCACCCAAAAGTAACTCGTCCGTGGGAAATGATTTCATCCGACCTTATGGGACCTATAGTAAAGTCTAATCGTGGAAATAGCTATATTTTAGTTGTAACTGATTATTTTAGTAAATTTTCCCTGATGTTTCCTTTACGTACAGCTACCGGGAAAGTCATAGCGAAGAAGATAGAAGAAGAAGTATTTTTAATGTTTGGAGTTCCAAGAATTGCCATTAGCGATAATGGGCCGCAGTACCGCTCGAAAGAGTATTTAAATCTTTTAAAGGAATATAAAGTAACGCCAAAGTTTAATGCCGCCTATCATGCGCAGGCGAATCCCACCGAAAGGGTAAATCGTACCTTAAAATACATGTTAGCCACATACGTAACTGACAATCATCGGTTATGGGATGTAAATTTACCAAAAATAGCCTGTGCAATTCGTACTGCAAAGAGTGAGACCACCCAACAGTCACCATATTTTATCAATTTCGGAAGATCAATGTTTCTATCGGGAATGGACTACCATCGGAAGGACCTATTTGAGGAGGGTAATGCCGGGGAAATGTTAAATAGAGGCGATGGATTTAAGCAAATTTTTGAGGATGTTAGCAAAAGAATACAACAAGCAGGAGAGAGAAACAAGAAGTACTATGATCTAAGGAGAAGGAGTGAGGAGTTTTGGGTTGGACAAGCGGTTTGGAAAAGGAATTACGTGTTGTCAGATGCTCAGAAATTCTATTCCAAAAAGCTAGCACCCAAGTTTGTTGGGCCATTCTTTATTAAGAAACGGGTTTCGCCATGGACATACGAGATTCAAGACGAGGCAGGTAGACTAAAAGGAACCTTCCACGCTAAAGACCTAAAAGCTCATCCGCCCGAATTTCAGGATAACTAATTTTTTAATTTTTTTTTATTCAACTTTTTTTTTTAAGAAAATAACGGGTTATTTTCTTAAAGTAAGGGGGGAATTTGTAACATTTAAATTTCAGTAATTAAATATTTTGAGAAAAAAATAAATATAATCTTGGGATTTTTAAAATTTAAATAATAAAGCAACCAGTTTGTTTGTAAATAGAGTTTATTTATTAAATTTATTTAAGTTATAAATAAATGTTTTTTTGCTGTGACGTCATACATTCTTTAAATTCCTTTGGAGTTCGTGAATTTTAACCTGAAAAGTAAAATTGTATCAATGGAAATTTTGCGTAAACAGGAAATATTACATTAATGGGCAGTAGTTGCCATTTGTCACTTTACCTACCTTTATATGAATGCTCCAATTCGATCGCTTGGCACGATGATTTTGATCGACAACAGTGTTCTCTAGGTTCCTGAAAATAATAAAAATATATTGTGATGGAAAATACTTAAATGTTTCCTTTTCAATTGATGCTTATTTCCAGTAATATTTTTAGTTATTGTTGGTTGATACTTACATGTTGTGGTTTAATTTGGTTTATTTACTGTCATTTGTTTTGCATAAAAATCACTGTGTTTTTTTTGACGATTACAGTCCATAATGATTTATTTCCCTAAAAATTAATATCCATATTATGAATAATAGTTGGGTATTTGATTAGCGCAGTTAATTGAATCGTTTCTTATGGTGCATTTTTGTAACCCAGGATATTTATTGGCTTATAATTTATTTCCTGTTAAGTATGGGTTCTTTTTCTTTGGAAATTAAAAGACTTAAGGCCGTTTTGTTTGATATTCTATGGTGGTAAAATTTGTGTGGTTTTTTTTCTATTGTCTCATTTTTTAAAATATTTTAAATAATAATTATTAGTAAATTAAAATTTGTTTATGACAATATTCGCGCATGTCTAAAGAAGGTCAAGGAAGTCTTCTAGAAGGAAGTCAGTCCTTTGGTGAATCTTTATCGTTGTGCACATAATTGTTGGAATTTTTGAATTGAACCTTTTTAAAGGGATTTAAGTGCCACGATATTTTTATATAGGAAGAGAGTGTGTTGGATTTTGCAGTTGTGTTGATTTTCGATCTCGATTCCTACAGCGTTTGCTGGATTTTTCAAGATTACCAAAACTAACCACGTAGCCGTCCATCATCTAGGGTTACCAATTGAATTGCAGTTTTTTTTGCTTTGAAAGCCTAAAAGCTGATACCTACCATCGCAGTAAGTCATTTTATTTTTTCCTTCTTCCTTCAGTTCCGCTAATTATTTTATTTGTAGAAACAAGTTTGAAACTTTTCATTTGGAATTTATCTCAAAAGGAAAAAACCCTTCATTGAAGGTATGTTGTATGTAAAGTTAAGGGTTGTTACTTAATAATATTTTTTATAGGGTTTTTTTTTGGGGTTGTTTCCTCGAGTTCTTTTTACATTTTAATATTCTGGAAATTCATTGAAGAAATATATTTGGACGTTTTCTGGCAGGAAAATCTTGAGAGCCGCCGCCATCTTGTATTGAATTTACTTCGGGAATCTTCAGGTGCCGACACTTAAGGTCAGATCTATCCTGTTTTTGCTTTTATATAGTTTTTTTGTTATATCTTTGATATTAAATAGATCTGAAAATAAATTAATTTAAGTTTATTTTAAATAGTTACAATAGAAATATAATAATAATATTACTTACCTATTTTCCCTGTAAATCATTTATAGCTGGCCAGATATAAAAGAGTTTTATTTATTTAAATTAGTCTTGTTATTATATATATATATTTTCTGTCAGACAGATGTTGGTATAAACTTTAATACATATTGCTTCTTGAATTAAACATTTTTTTTTTATTATTGTTTTAAACTTTGCTACTTTTTAATTTTAGTAACAATCACTTATTGTTACTTGGCGCCCAATATATAAGTAAAGGTAAGTAACTCTTTAATAAACTGCCAATCCCAGACCCTGAAAGGCTGAGCTGGTCAGGTTTATAACGATATCGGTCTATTTGTACGTTATAATATTAATGGTTTTCTTTTCAATTTGATAAAAACAGAACTTCATTTTACCAATGATAGGAAATTCTCAAAAAACCTCATAAATTTAAACCCGACCCAGTTGTTAATTTTGAAGAAGGTTCTGGAAAACTTAATAATAATAATATAATAATAATAAACTTTATTGCAAAAAAAAAATATACACAACGCTTGTATACATTTACATTCACAAAGGGTCTAGGTTCAACAAAAGTTGTTCTTCCACCTAAACCATAGAATTAGCTAATAATAATAATTGTTTAAACATGGTATACAATAAAAATAAAACAAAATCAGGTACATTGTTGCTCAAGTAGTACAGTTTTAAGTTGTTTTTTAAAATTGACTACATTATCACAAGTGGAATAGATATTAAAGTACCTATTATAAGTCTTAGGTGCTAAAATTTCAAAACTGTTTTGAAACTTGCTTGTTTTATGAATTGGTATTGAAAATAGTTCATTGCTACGTGTGTTAATATTATGATAAGCTGATAGCCTATTTAATAGCACAAAAATGTAACTAGGTCTATATGATTTAATAACATTAAAAACAAGACAGGCAAATTGTAGTAAAAACATATGCTCACACTTAAGAATATTATGCTGATTAAAAATTGGTGTTACATGCTCACGAATATTTACATTAAAAGAAAACCTAAGGCAGGAGTTTTGTAGTTTTTGTAATTTGTACTTATAAGTTGCAGTTGCAAAATTGTAATACACGCTGCTGCAATAATTCAGTGGACTTAAAATAAGGCTTGTAGATAATTTCCATTTTACATTAGAGTTTAAAAAATTCTTAAAATTATAAATAGATTTTAGTTTGACATAAGCGCTTTTTATTAATTTGCATATATGTTTATTAAAAACAAAGTTTTTGTCAATTAAAATGCCCAGGTTTTTAACAACTTCTTCAAAGATTATCACAGTGTTTTCTAGAAAAATATCACAGGTTTTATTTCTGAGGGTTTTTTGTAACATATTGTTTGAACCTACACATATAGCTACTGTTTTGGTAGCATTTAAAGACAGGCCATTGCACTTTGACCACTCACTTATTGACACTAGATCTTCATTAATTAGTTGGATGGTAGAGTTGATGCTGGAAGGTAAACATGGCAGGTAGAGTTGGGTGTCATCTGCATACTGATGAAATACGCAGTTTGACACTGCATTTTTGAAGTCAGAAGTAAAAATGGAGAACAACATAGGCCCCAGTATACTACCCTGGGGTACTCCTTTGCTGACATATTTATAAGTGGACATTTTTTCACCTAGTTGTACACACTGCTTCTATCCTTTAAATAGTTATCGATAAAAAAAACTATCAGAACCCGAAAAGCGATTTGCAGACCTTTCCTATTTGATGCAGTCGAACATTTTAAATGACATGGAAATTAAATTTCATAGATCATTAATGAAACAAAACACATTGAGAAACATGGCAAGCTGGGTAAGACTTTTAAAATTTATGATAATTTTTATAATTGCAGAAATATTTTTTAGGCGAATCGGCGCATACGAACTCTAGAGGAAACATGCCTCGAGTGGAAAAGCAGGAAAATACCAGATGAAGAATTTATTTTCAAGGTGCTTGAGACACCTAAGATATTTTTGGCCTGGTTAACAAGATGCATCCAGTTAAATGAATCCTTTAAAATTGCTCAGCAACTCTTGGCAAGCAAAATGTTTCAGTACATTTTTGCCATTTTTAAATATATTCAAAGTAACAATCTTGAAGAATCAATATTAAGGGAAATTGATGATTTTATGGAAAAAGTAAAAGGAACAAACTTTAGCAAAACCCTTTTAAAAAATGTTGCTGATATTCATAAATTATCAATTTTTAAGGATTCTTCGATACAGACAAAAATAAAAAATAAAATTATAAAAATATTAAAATCAAAAAAATGGGCGAATCTTTTTGCTTTTCTGTTGAAATCTAGTGTGGAATTTCAAGTTGTTGACTATATTAATGGTTTTCTTTTCAATTTGATAAAAACATAACTTCATTTTACCAATGATAGGAAATTCTCAAAAAACCTCATAAATTTAAACCCGACCCAGTTGTTAATTTTGAAGAAGGTTCTGGAAAACTTCGCAAAAGAAAGAAAAGATTCCGAAAGTATGAGTGGGTATATAACTTCCTGGGATGAGATAGTGAAGAGTGTTCAAAAGTACACAGGCCAGTATTTCAATTTTAATTTAATTCGGATTGCATCACATAACACGAAAATTATTTCTGGCCAAAAAAAGCTTGTTCTTGTAAATCCGGAAGATTTAAATTTTTTACCAATAAGGATGTTTTTCTTCGGTTATTGTTTAGAAGTTCAGACAAACTTGTTGAAAAAAAATGTTTCAATGAAAATCCTTATTATGTTTCTATTAAAGGAAAATCTTACGACAATCTGATACAAAGTCTTTTTTCCAAAAAAAAGAGAGCACTACCTTCGGAGGCGTTAATACGTCTTCAAGATAAACTAGACAATTCCTCCGAAAGAGAAGCCTCTCCTAAAATCAGTCCGGTGTTAAGACGAAGTACCCGGAATATAACATCTTTATTTTCTCGTAACGATTATTTCAAGGAAAAAATTCTGAGCGGAACTTCGGAGGGATTAAAAGTTGAAATAATCGAAGGAAAAGGGAGAGGAGTAATTAGTCGCCCATAAGAAAAAGACTATTCTTATGGGCGACTTTTAGGGGGCTGTATCTCCTAAAAAGGGGGCCAATTGGCAAAACTAAAAAATACGTGTCCCCCAAATTTCTCTCAAGAATATGTGACCATTGGATATCTACTGGACATTTGTGCTGTCTGGGACAGGAAATATTTTATTTGTAAAGTCGGCAAACATTGCAGCCATATTTCGTAAGGTTTCTTTCCCAGTGGGTTCAATTTAGGGAATTTGTTTTTATTCTGTGGTTTAATAGTTTGTTTGTATTATTTACAGGCATTTGCAAAATTCCTCCCAGACCCGTTACCTATAGATTTCAACCACCGGTGCTATTTTGGGTTTCTCAACAAAAAAAAGATGAAATGAACAAAATCCATCGACAGTTTGGTCATACAAGATCACAATATAAACGTTTTTTGCTTATTCAAAGATATTGTATCGATAAAAAAAACTATCAGAACCCGAAAAGCGATTTGCAGACCTTTCCTATTTGATGCAGTCGAACATTTTAAATGACATGGAAATTAAATTTCATAGATCATTAATGAAACAAAACACATTGAGAAACATGGCAAGCTGGGTAAGACTTTTAAAATTTATGATAATTTTTATAATTGCAGAAATATTTTTTAGGCGAATCGGCGCATACGAACTCTAGAGGAAACATGCCTCGAGTGGAAAAGCAGGAAAATACCAGATGAAGAATTTATTTTCAAGGTGCTTGAGACACCTAAGATATTTTTGGCCTGGTTAACAAGATGCATCCAGTTAAATGAATCCTTTAAAATTGCTCAGCAACTGAGGGCAAGCAAAATGTTTCAGTACATTTTTGCCATTTTTAAATATATTCAAAGTAACAATCTTGAAGAATCAATATTAAGGGAAATTGATGATTTTATGGAAAAAGTAAAAGGAACAAACTTTAGCAAAACCCTTTTAAAAAATGTTGCTGATATTCATAAATTATCAATTTTTAAGGATTCTTCGATACAGACAAAAATAAAAAATAAAATTATAAAAATATTAAAATCAAAAAAATGGGCGAATCTTTTTGCTTTTCTGTTGAAATCTAGTGTGGAATTTCAAGTTGTTGACTATATTAATGGTTTTCTTTTCAATTTGATAAAAACATAACTTCATTTTACCAATGATAGGAAATTCTCAAAAAACCTCATAAATTTAAACCCGACCCAGTTGTTAATTTTGAAGAAGGTTCTGGAAAACTTCGCAAAAGAAAGAAAAGATTCCGAAAGTATGAGTGGGTATATAACTTCCTGGGATGAGATAGTGAAGAGTGTTCAAAAGTACACAGGCCAGTATTTCAATTTTAATTTAATTCGGATTGCATCACATAACACGAAAATTATTTCTGGCCAAAAAAAGCTTGTTCTTGTAAATCCGGAAGATTTAAATTTTTTAACCAATAAGGATGTTTTTCTTCGGTTATTGTTTAGAAGTTCAGACAAACTTGTTGAAAAAAAATGTTTCAATGAAAATCCTTATTATGTTTCTATTAAAGGAAAATCTTACGACAATCTGATACAAAGTCTTTTTTCCAAAAAAAAGAGAGCACTACCTTCGGAGGCGTTAATACGTCTTCAAGATAAACTAGACAATTCCTCCGAAAGAGAAGCCTCTCCTAAAATCAGTCCGGTGTTAAGACGAAGTACCCGGAATATAACATATTTATTTTCTCGTAACGATTATTTCAAGGAAAAAATTCTGAGCGGAACTTCGGAGGGATTAAAAGTTGAAATAATCGAAGGAAAAGGGAGAGGAGTAATTAGTCGCCCATAAGAAAAAGACTATTCTTATGGGCGACTTTTAGGGGGCTGTATCTCCTAAAAAGGGGGCCAATTGGCAAAACTAAAAAATACGTGTCCCCCAAATTTCTCTCAAGAATATGTGACCATTGAATATCTACTGGACATTTGTGCTGTCTGGGACAGGAAATATTTTATTTTGTAAAGTCGGCAAACATTGCAGCCATATTTCGTAAGATTTCTTTCCCAGTGGGTTCAATTTAGGAAATTTGTTTTTATTCTGTGGTTTAATAGTTTGTTTGTATTATTTACAGGCATTTGCAAAATTCCTCCCAGACCCGTTACCTATAGATTTCAACCACCGGTGCTATTTTGGGTTTCTCAACAAAAAAAAGATGAAATGAACAAAATCCATCGACAGTTTGGTCATACAAGATCACAATATAAACGTTTTTTACTTATTCAAAGATATTGTATCGATAAAAAAAACTATCAGAACCCGAAAAGCGATTTGCAGACCTTTCCTATTTGATGCAGTCGAACATTTTAAATGACATGGAAATTAAATTTCATAGATCATTAATGAAACAAAACACATTGAGAAACATGGCAAGCTGGGTAAGACTTTTAAAATTTATGATAATTTTTATAATTGCAGAAATATTTTTTAGGCGAATCGGCGCATACGAACTCTAGAGGAAACATGCCTCGAGTGGAAAAGCAGGAAAATACCAGATGAAGAATTTATTTTCAAGGTGCTTGAGACACCTAAGATATTTTTGGCCTGGTTAACAAGATGCATCCAGTTAAATGAATCCTTTAAAATTGCTCAGCAACTGAGGGCAAGCAAAATGTTTCAGTACATTTTTGCCATTTTTAAATATATTCAAAGTAACAATCTTGAAGAATCAATATTAAGGGAAATTGATGATTTTATGGAAAAAGTAAAAGGAACAAACTTTAGCAAAACCCTTTTAAAAAATGTTGCTGATATTCATAAATTATCAATTTTTAAGGATTCTTCGATACAGACAAAAATAAAAAATAAAATTATAAAAATATTAAAATCAAAAAAATGGGCGAATCTTTTTGCTTTTCTGTTGAAATCTAGTGTGGAATTTCAAGTTGTTGACTATATTAATGGTTTTCTTTTCAATTTGATAAAAACAGAACTTCATTTTACCAATGATAGGAAATTCTCAAAAAACCTCATAAATTTAAACCCGACCCAGTTGTTAATTTTGAAGAAGGTTCTGGAAAACTTCGCAAAAGAAAGAAAAGATTCCGAAAGTATGAGTGGGTATATAACTTCCTGGGATGAGATAGTGAAGAGTGTTCAAAAGTACACAGGCCAGTATTTCAATTTTAATTTAATTCGGATTGCATCACATAACACGAAAATTATTTCTGGCCAAAAAAAGCTTGTTCTTGTAAATCCGGAAGATTTAAATTTTTTAACCAATAAGGATGTTTTTCTTCGGTTATTGTTTAGAAGTTCAGACAAACTTGTTGAAAAAAAATGTTTCAATGAAAATCCTTATTATGTTTCTATTAAAGGAAAATCTTACGACAATCTGATACAAAGTCTTTTTTCCAAAAAAAAGAGAGCACTACCTTCGGAGGCGTTAATACGTCTTCAAGATAAACTACACAATTCCTCCGAAAGAGAAGCCTCTCCTAAAATCAGTCCGGTGTTAAGACGAAGTACCCGGAATATAACATCTTTATTTTCTCGTAACGATTATTTCAAGGAAAAAATTCTGAGCGGAACTTCGGAGGGATTAAAAGTTGAAATAATCGAAGGAAAAGGGAGAGGAGTAATTAGTCGCCCATAAGAAAAAGACTATTCTTATGGGCGACTTTTAGGGGGCTGTATCTCCTAAAAAGGGGGCCAATTGGCAAAACTAAAAAATACGTGTCCCCCAAATTTCTCTCAAGAATATGTGACCATTGGATATCTACTGGACATTTGTGCTGTCTGGGACAGGAAATATTTTATTTGTAAAGTCGGCAAACATTGCAGCCATATTTCGTAAGGTTTCTTTCCCAGTGGGTTCAATTTAGGGAATTTGTTTTTATTCTGTGGTTTAATAGTTTGTTTGTATTATTTACAGGCATTTGCAAAATTCCTCCCAGACCCGTTACCTATAGATTTCAACCACCGGTGCTATTTTGGGTTTCTCAACAAAAAAAAGATGAAATGAACAAAATCCATCGACAGTTTGGTCATACAAGATCACAATATAAACGTTTTTTGCTTATTCAAAGATATTGTATCGATAAAAAAAACTATCAGAACCCGAAAAGCGATTTGCAGACCTTTCCTATTTGATGCAGTCGAACATTTTAAATGACATGGAAATTAAATTTCATAGATCATTAATGAAACAAAACACATTGAGAAACATGGCAAGCTGGGTAAGACTTTTAAAATTTATGATAATTTTTATAATTGCAGAAATATTTTTTAGGCGAATCGGCGCATACGAACTCTAGAGGAAACATGCCTCGAGTGGAAAAGCAGGAAAATACCAGATGAAGAATTTATTTTCAAGGTGCTTGAGACACCTAAGATATTTTTGGCCTGGTTAACAAGATGCATCCAGTTAAATGAATCCTTTAAAATTGCTCAGCAACTGAGGGCAAGCAAAATGTTTCAGTACATTTTTGCCATTTTTAAATATATTCAAAGTAACAATCTTGAAGAATCAATATTAAGGGAAATTGATGATTTTATGGAAAAAGTAAAAGGAACAAACTTTAGCAAAACCCTTTTAAAAAATGTTGCTGATATTCATAAATTATCAATTTTTAAGGATTCTTCGATACAGACAAAAATAAAAAATAAAATTATAAAAATATTAAAATCAAAAAAATGGGCGAATCTTTTTGCTTTTCTGTTGAAATCTAGTGTGGAATTTCAAGTTGTTGACTATATTAATGGTTTTCTTTTCAATTTGATAAAAACAGAACTTCATTTTACCAATGATAGGAAATTCTCAAAAAACCTCATAAATTTAAACCCGACCCAGTTGTTAATTTTGAAGAAGGTTCTGGAAAACTTCGCAAAAGAAAGAAAAGATTCCGAAAGTATGAGTGGGTATATAACTTCCTGGGATGAGATAGTGAAGAGTGTTCAAAAGTACACAGGCCAGTATTTCAATTTTAATTTAATTCGGATTGCATCACATAACACGAAAATTATTTCTGGCCAAAAAAAGCTTGTTCTTGTAAATCCGGAAGATTTAAATTTTTTAACCAATAAGGATGTTTTTCTTCGGTTATTGTTTAGAAGTTCAGACAAACTTGTTGAAAAAAAATGTTTCAATGAAAATCCTTATTATGTTTCTATTAAAGGAAAACCTTACGACAATCTGATACAAAGTCTTTTTTCCAAAAAAAAGAGAGCACTACCTTCGGAGGCGTTAATACGTCTTCAAGATAAACTAGACAATTCCTCCGAAAGAGAAGCCTCTCCTAAAATCAGTCCGGTGTTAAGACGAAGTACCCGGAATATAACATCTTTATTTTCTCGTAACGATTATTTCAAGGAAAAAATTCTGAGCGGAACTTCGGAGGGATTAAAAGTTGAAATAATCGAAGGAAAAGGGAGAGGAGTAATTAGTCGCCCATAAGAAAAAGACTATTCTTATGGGCGACTTTTAGGGGGCTGTATTTCCTAAAAAGGGGGCCAATTGGCAAAACTAAAAAATACGTGTCCCCCAAATTTCTCTCAAGAATATGTGACCATTGGATATCTACTGGACATTTGTGCTGTCTGGGACAGGAAATATTTTATTTGTAAAGTCGGCAAACATTGCAGCCATATTTCGTAAGGTTTCTTTCCCAGTGGGTTCAATTTAGGGAATTTGTTTTTATTCTGTGGTTTAATAGTTTGTTTGTATTATTTACAGGCATTTGCAAAATTCCTCCCAGACCCGTTACCTATAGATTTCAACCACCGGTGCTATTTTGGGTTTCTCAACAAAAAAAAGATGAAATAAACAAAATCCATCGACAGTTTGGTCATACAAGATCACAATATAAACGTTTTTTGCTTATTCAAAGATATTGTATCAATAAAAAAAACTATCAGAACCCGAAAAGCGATTTGCAGACCTTTCCTATTTGATGCAGTCGAACATTTTAAATGACATGGAAATTAAATTTTATAGATCATTAATGAAACAAAACACATTGAGAAACATGGCAAGCTGGGTAAGACTTTTAAAATTTATGATAATTTTTATAATTGCAGAAATATTTTTTAGGCGAATCGGCGCATACGAACTCTAGAGGAAACATGCCTCGAGTGGAAAAGCAGGAAAATACCAGATGAAGAATTTATTTTCAAGGTGCTTGAGACACCTAAGATATTTTTGGCCTGCAAGCTTTCAAGGAAATTAAGGAAAAATTAGTGACAGCTCCAGTTTTAAGTTGTCCAAATTATGGCTTACCTTTCGACGTACAGACGGACGCTTCTGGTTGGGGCATAGCGGCGGTTTTAACACAACCTCATCCATCTGGGTAAAAGTGGTGGCATATTTAAGTAGATCTTTAACAGCGCAAGAGAGGAAATATTCGACAACAGAAAGGGAATGTCTGGCTGTAATATGGGCCCTCGAAAAACTAAGACCCTATCTAGAAGGTGTACCCAATGTAACCGTAATTACCGACCATTACTCGTTGGTGTGGCTTTATAATCTCCATGATGTCAACGGAAGGCTAGCCAGGTGGGCGTTGAGAATGCAGCAGTTTGATGTGAAAATTGTACACAGGAAAGGAAAAGAACATATAGTACCCGATACCTTATCCAGATCTGTACCGGTATTGGATTTTTTAGAGGTTCTAAGTAAGTCGGACAGATGGTTTGTGAATATGTGTAATAAAGTCAAGAAGGATCCTTTAAAATATCCAAATTGGAGATTTGCGGATGACTGTTTGTATAAGTATGTTAAGCCAGAATATTCAAATATGACATCGGACTGGGAAAACTGGAAGAAAGTAGTGCTCAAAGGACAACGTCTTCCGCTGTTGAAAAAATTTCATGAGGATGCCACGTCGGGACATGCAGGAGTTTTTAAAACATGCGCTAGGTTGTTCGAACAATATTACTGGCCAAAACTTAGAAGTGATGTAGCGAGATTTATTAAAAGTTGTACTACGTGTACACAGCATCGCACAGACAATAAGAAACCAGTGGGCTTCATGTTAAGCCACCCAAAAGTAACTCGTCCGTGGGAAATGATTTCATCCGACCTTATGGGACCTATAGTAAAGTCTAATCGTGGAAATAGCTATATTTTAGTTGTAACTGATTATTTTAGTAAATTTTCCCTGATGTTTCCTTTACGTACAGCTACCGGGAAAGTCATAGCGAAGAAGATAGAAGAAGAAGTATTTTTAATGTTTGGAGTTCCAAGAATTGCCATTAGCGATAATGGGCCGCAGTACCGCTCGAAAGAGTATTTAAATCTTTTAAAGGAATATAAAGTAACGCCAAAGTTTAATGCCGCCTATCATGCGCAGGCGAATCCCACCGAAAGGGTAAATCGTACCTTAAAATACATGTTAGCCACATACGTAACTGACAATCATCGGTTATGGGATGTAAATTTACCAAAAATAGCCTGTGCAATTCGTACTGCAAAGAGTGAGACCACCCAACAGTCACCATATTTTATCAATTTCGGAAGATCAATGTTTCTATCGGGAATGGACTACCATCGGAAGGACCTATTTGAGGAGGGTAATGCCGGGGAAATGTTAAATAGAGGCGATGGATTTAAGCAAATTTTTGAGGATGTTAGCAAAAGAATACAACAAGCAGGAGAGAGAAACAAGAAGTACTATGATCTAAGGAGAAGGAGTGAGGAGTTTTGGGTTGGACAAGCGGTTTGGAAAAGGAATTACGTGTTGTCAGATGCTCAGAAATTCTATTCCAAAAAGCTAGCACCCAAGTTTGTTGGGCCATTCTTTATTAAGAAACGGGTTTCGCCATGGACATACGAGATTCAAGACGAGGCAGGTAGACTAAAAGGAACCTTCCACGCTAAAGACCTAAAAGCTCATCCGCCCGAATTTCAGGATAACTAATTTTTTAATTTTTTTTTATTCAACTTTTTTTTTTAAGAAAATAACGGGTTATTTTCTTAAAGTAAGGGGGGAATTTGTAACATTTAAATTTCAGTAATTAAATATTTTGAGAAAAAAATAAATATAATCTTGGGATTTTTAAAATTTAAATAATAAAGCAACCAGTTTGTTTGTAAATAGAGTTTATTTATTAAATTTATTTAAGTTATAAATAAATGTTTTTTTGCTGTGACGTCATACATTCTTTAAATTCCTTTGGAGTTCGTGAATTTTAACCTGAAAAGTAAAATTGTATCAATGGAAATTTTGCGTAAACAGGAAATATTACATTAATGGGCAGTAGTTGCCATTTGTCACTTTACCTACCTTTATATGAATGCTCCAATTCGATCGCTTGGCACGATGATTTTGATCGACAACAGTGTTCTCTAGGTTCCTGAAAATAATAAAAATATATTGTGATGGAAAATACTTAAATGTTTCCTTTTCAATTGATGCTTATTTCCAGTAATATTTTTAGTTATTGTTGGTTGATACTTACATGTTGTGGTTTAATTTGGTTTATTTACTGTCATTTGTTTTGCATAAAAATCACTGTGTTTTTTTTGACGATTACAGTCCATAATGATTTATTTCCCTAAAAATTAATATCCATATTATGAATAATAGTTGGGTATTTGATTAGCGCAGTTAATTGAATCGTTTCTTATGGTGCATTTTTGTAACCCAGGATATTTATTGGCTTATAATTTATTTCCTGTTAAGTATGGGTTCTTTTTCTTTGGAAATTAAAAGACTTAAGGCCGTTTTGTTTGATATTCTATGGTGGTAAAATTTGTGTGGTTTTTTTTCTATTGTCTCATTTTTTAAAATATTTTAAATAATAATTATTAGTAAATTAAAATTTGTTTATGACAATATTCGCGCATGTCTAAAGAAGGTCAAGGAAGTCTTCTAGAAGGAAGTCAGTCCTTTGGTGAATCTTTATCGTTGTGCACATAATTGTTGGAATTTTTGAATTGAACCTTTTTAAAGGGATTTAAGTGCCACGATATTTTTATATAGGAAGAGAGTGTGTTGGATTTTGCAGTTGTGTTGATTTTCGATCTCGATTCCTACAGCGTTTGCTGGATTTTTCAAGATTACCAAAACTAACCACGTAGCCGTCCATCATCTAGGGTTACCAATTGAATTGCAGTTTTTTTTGCTTTGAAAGCCTAAAAGCTGATACCTACCATCGCAGTAAGTCATTTTATTTTTTCCTTCTTCCTTCAGTTCCGCTAATTATTTTATTTGTAGAAACAAGTTTGAAACTTTTCATTTGGAATTTATCTCAAAAGGAAAAAACCCTTCATTGAAGGTATGTTGTATGTAAAGTTAAGGGTTGTTACTTAATAATATTTTTTATAGGGTTTTTTTTTGGGGTTGTTTCCTCGAGTTCTTTTTACATTTTAATATTCTGGAAATTCATTGAAGAAATATATTTGGACGTTTTCTGGCAGGAAAATCTTGAGAGCCGCCGCCATCTTGTATTGAATTTACTTCGGGAATCTTCAGGTGCCGACACTTAAGGTCAGATCTATCCTGTTTTTGCTTTTATATAGTTTTTTTGTTATATCTTTGATATTAAATAGATCTGAAAATAAATTAATTTAAGTTTATTTTAAATAGTTACAATAGAAATATAATAATAATATTACTTACCTATTTTCCCTGTAAATCATTTATAGCTGGCCAGATATAAAAGAGTTTTATTTATTTAAATTAGTCTTGTTATTATATATATATATTTTCTGTCAGACAGATGTTGGTATAAACTTTAATACATATTGCTTCTTGAATTAAACATTTTTTTTTTATTATTGTTTTAAACTTTGCTACTTTTTAATTTTAGTAACAATCACTTATTGTTACTTGGCGCCCAATATATAAGTAAAGGTAAGTAACTCTTTAATAAACTGCCAATCCCAGACCCTGAAAGGCTGAGCTGGTCAGGTTTATAACGATATCGGTCTATTTGTACGTTATAATATTAATGGTTTTCTTTTCAATTTGATAAAAACAGAACTTCATTTTACCAATGATAGGAAATTCTCAAAAAACCTCATAAATTTAAACCCGACCCAGTTGTTAATTTTGAAGAAGGTTCTGGAAAACTTAATAATAATAATATAATAATAATAAACTTTATTGCAAAAAAAAAATATACACAACGCTTGTATACATTTACATTCACAAAGGGTCTAGGTTCAACAAAAGTTGTTCTTCCACCTAAACCATAGAATTAGCTAATAATAATAATTGTTTAAACATGGTATACAATAAAAATAAAACAAAATCAGGTACATTGTTGCTCAAGTAGTACAGTTTTAAGTTGTTTTTTAAAATTGACTACATTATCACAAGTGGAATAGATATTAAAGTACCTATTATAAGTCTTAGGTGCTAAAATTTCAAAACTGTTTTGAAACTTGCTTGTTTTATGAATTGGTATTGAAAATAGTTCATTGCTACGTGTGTTAATATTATGATAAGCTGATAGCCTATTTAATAGCACAAAAATGTAACTAGGTCTATATGATTTAATAACATTAAAAACAAGACAGGCAAATTGTAGTAAAAACATATGCTCACACTTAAGAATATTATGCTGATTAAAAATTGGTGTTACATGCTCACGAATATTTACATTAAAAGAAAACCTAAGGCAGGAGTTTTGTAGTTTTTGTAATTTGTACTTATAAGTTGCAGTTGCAAAATTGTAATACACGCTGCTGCAATAATTCAGTGGACTTAAAATAAGGCTTGTAGATAATTTCCATTTTACATTAGAGTTTAAAAAATTCTTAAAATTATAAATAGATTTTAGTTTGACATAAGCGCTTTTTATTAATTTGCATATATGTTTATTAAAAACAAAGTTTTTGTCAATTAAAATGCCCAGGTTTTTAACAACTTCTTCAAAGATTATCACAGTGTTTTCTAGAAAAATATCACAGGTTTTATTTCTGAGGGTTTTTTGTAACATATTGTTTGAACCTACACATATAGCTACTGTTTTGGTAGCATTTAAAGACAGGCCATTGCACTTTGACCACTCACTTATTGACACTAGATCTTCATTAATTAGTTGGATGGTAGAGTTGATGCTGGAAGGTAAACATGGCAGGTAGAGTTGGGTGTCATCTGCATACTGATGAAATACGCAGTTTGACACTGCATTTTTGAAGTCAGAAGTAAAAATGGAGAACAACATAGGCCCCAGTATACTACCCTGGGGTACTCCTTTGCTGACATATTTATAAGTGGACATTTTTTCACCTAGTTGTACACACTGCTTCCTATCCTTTAAATAGTTTGATAACCACTTAATAACTGATTTGTCAAACCGATAGTAACTAAGTTTTGCCAGGAGTAAATCATGGTTGATTACGTCAAAAGCCTTACTGTAGTCAAGTAACACCATCAAGCTAACTTGAGAGTTGTCCATTGCCCTGGATATATCATTTGATATTTTTAAAAGTGCAGTATTAGTACTACGATCTTTTCTAAAACCAGATTGGTTTTCCGGTAGAACATAGGTTTCAGTATGGTGTGAGATTTGCATTTGTACAATCTTTTCAGTAACTTTTGAAAATATAGGCAATATACTAATTGGCCTGAAGTCTACTGGACCACTTGGCTTATTTACTTTGGGTATTGGTAGTATTTTTGCAGCTTTCCAGAGCTTTGGTACAATTCCATTTGATAGAGATAAATTAATAATATGTGTAATCTGTGGGAGGCAGTGTGGTAATACTATTTTTAACATTTTAAGATCAATGCCATCAACTCCCTGAGCATTCGATTTGAGACTTTGTACAGCCTTTAATACATCACCCTCATACACAGTCTGAAATTTTGCACTCTCATCAACATTGGGTTTTTTATTGTTATTAAAGTATTGAAGAGTATCTTGTGTTACTTCCAGGTTTCCAATTAAGTTTGTAAAAAATTCATTAAGTTCATCAGCACTTACAGAATTTAATGGGACTTCTACAGGTTTTTTTGAGTGTACATTAAGCTTATTTAAGTTATTCCAGAATAGTTTGGAATTTTTGGAGTATTTATTTACATTATGCTCGATGTATGCCTTCTTCTCATTTCTTATTGCTACTATGAGGTAATTTCTCAGCTGTTTGTAGTAATCAAAGTGTGCCATTTTTTTCGTTTTCTGGTACTTTTTATAGGCTTTATTTTTTAGCTTTATTATTTCTTGTATAACTGGTGTAATATAAGGATGCTTGGGTTTACAAATTTTTCGATTTTTTATAGGTGCATGCAGATCAAATAAGCTTAAGATTGCACTATTAAGGAAATTTACTTTTTCATCTATTGGTATTTCTGAATTTATGTAGCTCCAGTTTATTCTAACAGCATCAAAAGAGAAATCCGCCAGATTAAAACTGGAAAAGTCTCTGAAGGTAATTGTGTGTGGGTTGGGTTTATTTGTTGGTATTATAAGTTCGCATTTGATGAGAAGATGATCCGTCATATCTAATAAATCCACTGTGGAGTAGTTAGAGAGTTCTATATTGTTAGAGATACAAATTACATCTATTAAGGTTGCTGAGTAATCTGTGACTCTAGTCGGCTCTTGTATAATTTGTTTTAAATTATATACTTCAAGCATATTTGTAAAATCAGCCTTCATACTGCTATTCTGAAGTAGATTTATATTCAGATCCCCCATTATAATTATATTATTGTTTTCAAGATTCATTTGACAAAGTGCATTTTCCAATTCATTTAGAGTTATTGAATTTTCGGGTGGTCTATAGACAACCGCAAGGCCATACTTAACTTTATTTATAGTAAGCTGTATCCACAATTGCTCCAGTCTATCTTCAACTATATAATCTAATAATTTTTGTTCTACATTAAGACAAGTACGTATATAACAGCACACTCCTCCTCCTCTTTTCTCTCTATCTTTTCTAAACAATATATATCCTGGAATGTAAAGATATTTATCTGAAAAGAAAAAAAAAGAAAGAAAAGATTCCGAAAGTATGAGTGGGTATATAACTTCCTGGGATGAGATAGTGAAGAGTGTTCAAAAGTACACAGGCCAGTATTTCAATTTTAATTTAATTCGGATTGCATCACATAACACGAAAATTATTTCTGGCCAAAAAAAGCTTGTTCTTGTAAATCCGGAAGATTTAAATTTTTTAACCAATAAGGATGTTTTTCTTCGGTTATTGTTTAGAAGTTCAGACAAACTTGTTGAAAAAAAATGTTTCAATGAAAATCCTTATTATGTTTCTATTAAAGGAAAATCTTACGACAATCTGATACAAAGTCTTTTTTCCAAAAAAAAGAGAGCACTACCTTCGGAGGCGTTAATACGTCTTCAAGATAAACTAGACAATTCCTCCGAAAGAGAAGCCTCTCCTAAAATCAGTCCGGTGTTAAGACGAAGTACCCGGAATATAACATCTTTATTTTCTCGTAACGATTATTTTAAGGAAAAAATTCTGAGCGGAACTTCGGAGGGATTAAAAGTTGAAATAATCGAAGGAAAAGGGAGAGGAGTAATTAGTCGCCCATAAGAAAAAGACTATTCTTATGGGCGACTTTTAGGGGGCTGTATCTCCTAAAAAGGGGGCCAATTGGCAAAACTAAAAAATACGTGTCCCCCAAATTTCTCTCAAGAATATGTGACCATTGGATATCTACTGGACATTTGTGCTGTCTGGGACAGGAAATATTTTATTTGTAAAGTCGGCAAACATTGCAGCCATATTTCGTAAGGTTTCTTTCCCAGTGGGTTCAATTTAGGGAATTTGTTTTTATTCTGTGGTTTAATAGTTTGTTTGTATTATTTACAGGCATTTGCAAAATTCCTCCCAGACCCGTTACCTATAGATTTCAACCACCGGTGCTATTTTGGGTTTCTCAACAAAAAAAAAGATGAAATGAACAAAATCCATCGACAGTTTGGTCATACAAGATCACAATATAAACGTTTTTTGCTTATTCAAAGATATTGTATCGATAAAAAAAACTATCAGAACCCGAAAAGCGATTTGCAGATCTTTCCTATTTGATGCAGTCGAACATTTTAAATGACATGGAAATTAAATTTCATAGATCATTAATGAAACAAAACACATTGAGAAACATGGCAAGCTGGGTAAGACTTTTAAAATTTATGATAATTTTTATAATTGCAGAAATATTTTTTAGGCGAATCGGCGCATACGAACTCTAGAGGAAACATGCCTCGAGTGGAAAAGCAGGAAAATACCAGATGAAGAATTTATTTTCAAGGTGCTTGAGACACCTAAGATATTTTTGGCCTGGTTAACAAGATGCATCCAGTTAAATGAATCCTTTAAAATTGCTCAGCAACTGAGGGCAAGCAAAATGTTTCAGTACATTTTTGCCATTTTTAAATATATTCAAAGTAACAATCTTGAAGAATCAATATTAAGGGAAATTGATGATTTTATGGAAAAAGTAAAAGGAACAAACTTTAGCAAAACCCTTTTAAAAAATGTTGCTGATATTCATAAATTATCAATTTTTAAGGATTCTTCGATACAAACAAAAATAAAAAATAAAATTATAAAAATATTAAAATCAAAAAAATGGGCGAATCTTTTTGCTTTTCTGTTGAAATCTAGTGTGGAATTTCAAGTTGTTGACTATATTAATGGTTTTCTTTTCAATTTGATAAAAACAGAACTTCATTTTACCAATGATAGGAAATTCTCAAAAAACCTCATAAATTTAAACCCGACCCAGTTGTTAATTTTGAAGAAGGTTCTGGAAAACTTCGCAAAAGAAAGAAAAGATTCCGAAAGTATGAGTGGGTATATAACTTCCTGGGATGAGATAGTGAAGAGTGTTCAAAAGTACACAGGCCAGTATTTCAATTTTAATTTAATTCGGATTGCATCACATAACACGAAAATTATTTCTGGCCAAAAAAAGCTTGTTCTTGTAAATCCGGAAGATTTAAATTTTTTAACCAATAAGGATGTTTTTCTTCGGTTATTGTTTAGAAGTTCAGACAAACTTGTTGAAAAAAAATGTTTCAATGAAAATCCTTATTATGTTTCTATTAAAGGAAAATCTTACGACAATCTGATACAAAGTCTTTTTTCCAAAAAAAAGAGAGCACTACCTTCGGAGGCGTTAATACGTCTTCAAGATAAACTAGACAATTCCTCCGAAAGAGAAGCCTCTCCTAAAATCAGTCCGGTGTTAAGACGAAGTACCCGGAATATAACATCTTTATTTTCTCGTAACGATTATTTCAAGGAAAAAATTCTGAGCGGAACTTCGGAGGGATTAAAAGTTGAAATAATCGAAGGAAAAGGGAGAGGAGTAATTAGTCGCCCATAAGAAAAAGACTATTCTTATGGGCGACTTTTAGGGGGCTGTATCTCCTAAAAAGGGGGCCAATTGGCAAAACTAAAAAATACGTGTCCCCCAAATTTCTCTCAAGAATATGTGACCATTGGATATCTACTGGACATTTGTGCTGTCTGGGACAGGAAATATTTTATTTGTAAAGTCGGCAAACATTGCAGCCATATTTCGTAAGGTTTCTTTCCCAGTGGGTTCAATTTAGGGAATTTGTTATTATTCTGTGGTTTAATAGTTTGTTTGTATTATTTACAGGCATTTGCAAAATTCCTCCCAGACCCGTTACCTATAGATTTCAACCACCGGTGCTATTTTGGGTTTCTCAACAAAAAAAAGATGAAATGAACAAAATCCATCGACAGTTTGGTCATACAAGATCACAATATAAACGTTTTTTGCTTATTCAAAGATATTGTATCGATAAAAAAAACTATCAGAACCCGAAAAGCGATTTGCAGACCTTTCCTATTTGATGCAGTCGAACATTTTAAATGACATGGAAATTAAATTTCATAGATCATTAATGAAACAAAACACATTGAGAAACATGGCAAGCTGGGTAAGACTTTTAAAATTTATGATAATTTTTATAATTGCAGAAATATTTTTTAGGCGAATCGGCGCATACGAACTCTAGAGGAAACATGCCTCGAGTGGAAAAGCAGGAAAATACCAGATGAAGAATTTATTTTCAAGGTGCTTGAGACACCTAAGATATTTTTGGCCTGGTTAACAAGATGCATCCAGTTAAATGAATCCTTTAAAATTGCTCAGCAACTGAGGGCAAGCAAAATGTTTCAGTACATTTTTGCCATTTTTAAATATATTCAAAGTAACAATCTTGAAGAATCAATATTAAGGGAAATTGATGATTTTATGGAAAAAGTAAAAGGAACAAACTTTAGCAAAACCCTTTTAAAAAATGTTGCTGATATTCATAAATTATCAATTTTTAAGGATTCTTCGATACAGACAAAAATAAAAAATAAAATTATAAAAATATTAAAATCAAAAAAATGGGCGAATCTTTTTGCTTTTCTGTTGAAATCTAGTGTGGAATTTCAAGTTGTTGACTATATTAATGGTTTTCTTTTCAATTTGATAAAAACAGAACTTCATTTTACCAATGATAGGAAATTCTCAAAAAACCTCATAAATTTAAACCCGACCCAGTTGTTAATTTTGAAGAAGGTTCTGGAAAACTTCGCAAAAGAAAGAAAAGATTCCGAAAGTATGAGTGGGTATATAACTTCCTGGGATGAGATAGTGAAGAGTGTTCAAAAGTACACAGGCCAGTATTTCAATTTTAATTTAATTCGGATTGCATCACATAACACGAAAATTATTTCTGGCCAAAAAAAGCTTGTTCTTGTAAATCCGGAAGATTTAAATTTTTTACCAATAAGGATGTTTTTCTTCGGTTATTGTTTAGAAGTTCAGACAAACTTGTTGAAAAAAAATGTTTCAATGAAAATCCTTATTATGTTTCTATTAAAGGAAAATCTTACGACAATCTGATACAAAGTCTTTTTTCCAAAAAAAAGAGAGCACTACCTTCGGAGGCGTTAATACGTCTTCAAGATAAACTAGACAATTCCTCCGAAAGAGAAGCCTCTCCTAAAATCAGTCCGGTGTTAAGACGAAGTACCCGGAATATAACATCTTTATTTTCTCGTAACGATTATTTCAAGGAAAAAATTCTGAGCGGAACTTCGGAGGGATTAAAAGTTGAAATAATCGAAGGAAAAGGGAGAGGAGTAATTAGTCGCCCATAAGAAAAAGACTATTCTTATGGGCGACTTTTAGGGGGCTGTATCTCCTAAAAAGGGGGCCAATTGGCAAAACTAAAAAATACGTGTCCCCCAAATTTCTCTCAAGAATATGTGACCATTGGATATCTACTGGACATTTGTGCTGTCTGGGACAGGAAATATTTTATTTGTAAAGTCGGCAAACATTGCAGCCATATTTCGTAAGGTTTCTTTCCCAGTGGGTTCAATTTAGGGAATTTGTTTTTATTCTGTGGGTTAATAGTTTGTTTGTATTATTTACAGGCATTTGCAAAATTCCTCCCAGACCCGTTACCTATAGATTTCAACCACCGGTGCTATTTTGGGTTTCTCAACAAAAAAAAGATGAAATGAACAAAATCCATCGACAGTTTGGTCATACAAGATCACAATATAAACGTTTTTTGCTTATTCAAAGATATTGTATCGATAAAAAAAACTATCAGAACCCGAAAAGCGATTTGCAGACCTTTCCTATTTGATGCAGTCGAACATTTTAAATGACATGGAAATTAAATTTCATAGATCATTAATGAAACAAAACACATTGAGAAACATGGCAAGCTGGGTAAGACTTTTAAAATTTATGATAATTTTTATAATTGCAGAAATATTTTTTAGGCGAATCGGCGCATACGAACTCTAGAGGAAACATGCCTCGAGTGGAAAAGCAGGAAAATACCAGATGAAGAATTTATTTTCAAGGTGCTTGAGACACCTAAGATATTTTTGGCCTGGTTAACAAGATGCATCCAGTTAAATGAATCCTTTAAAATTGCTCAGCAACTGAGGGCAAGCAAAATGTTTCAGTACATTTTTGCCATTTTTAAATATATTCAAAGTAACAATCTTGAAGAATCAATATTAAGGGAAATTGATGATTTTATGGAAAAAGTAAAAGGAACAAACTTTAGCAAAACCCTTTTAAAAAATGTTGCTGATATTCATAAATTATCAATTTTTAAGGATTCTTCGATACAGACAAAAATAAAAAATAAAATTATAAAAATATTAAAATCAAAAAAATGGGCGAATCTTTTTGCTTTTCTGTTGAAATCTAGTGTGGAATTTCAAGTTGTTGACTATATTAATGGTTTTCTTTTCAATTTGATAAAAACAGAACTTCATTTTACCAATGATAGGAAATTCTCAAAAAACCTCATAAATTTAAACCCGACCCAGTTGTTAATTTTGAAGAAGGTTCTGGAAAACTTCGCAAAAGAAAGAAAAGATTCCGAAAGTATGAGTGGGTATATAACTTCCTGGGATGAGATAGTGAAGAGTGTTCAAAAGTACACAGGCCAGTATTTCAATTTTAATTTAATTCGGATTGCATCACATAACACGAAAATTATTTCTGGCCAAAAAAAGCTTGTTCTTGTAAATCCGGAAGATTTAAATTTTTTACCAATAAGGATGTTTTTCTTCGGTTATTGTTTAGAAGTTCAGACAAACTTGTTGAAAAAAAATGTTTCAATGAAAATCCTTATTATGTTTCTATTAAAGGAAAATCTTACGACAATCTGATACAAAGTCTTTTTTCCAAAAAAAAGAGAGCACTACCTTCGGAGGCGTTAATACGTCTTCAAGATAAACTAGACAATTCCTCCGAAAGAGAAGCCTCTCCTAAAATCAGTCCGGTGTTAAGACGAAGTACCCGGAATATAACATCTTTATTTTCTCGTAACGATTATTTCAAGGAAAAAATTCTGAGCGGAACTTCGGAGGGATTAAAAGTTGAAATAATCGAAGGAAAAGGGAGAGGAGTAATTAGTCGCCCATAAGAAAAAGACTATTCTTATGGGCGACTTTTAGGGGGCTGTATCTCCTAAAAAGGGGGCCAATTGGCAAAACTAAAAAATACGTGTCCCCCAAATTTCTCTCAAGAATATGTGACCATTGGATATCTACTGGACATTTGTGCTGTCTGGGACAGGAAATATTTTATTCGTAAAGTCGGCAAACATTGCAGCCATATTTCGTAAGGTTTCTTTCCCAGTGGGTTCAATTTAGGGAATTTGTTTTTATTCTGTGGTTTAATAGTTTGTTTGTATTATTTACAGGCATTTGCAAAATTCCTCCCAGACCCGTTACCTATAGATTTCAACCACCGGTGCTATTTTGGGTTTCTCAACAAAAAAAAGATGAAATGAACAAAATCCATCGACAGTTTGGTCATACAAGATCACAATATAAACGTTTTTTGCTTATTCAAAGATATTGTATCGATAAAAAAAACTATCAGAACCCGAAAAGCGATTTGCAGACCTTTCCTATTTGATGCAGTCGAACATTTTAAATGACATGGAAATTAAATTTCATAGATCATTAATGAAACAAAACACATTGAGAAACATGGCAAGCTGGGTAAGACTTTTAAAATTTATGATAATTTTTATAATTGCAGAAATATTTTTTAGGCGAATCGGCGCATACGAACTCTAGAGGAAACATGCCTCGAGTGGAAAAGCAGGAAAATACCAGATGAAGAATTTATTTTCAAGGTGCTTGAGACACCTAAGATATTTTTGGCCTGGTTAACAAGATGCATCCAGTTAAATGAATCCTTTAAAATTGCTCAGCAACTGAGGGCAAGCAAAATGTTTCAGTACATTTTTGCCATTTTTAAATATATTCAAAGTAACAATCTTGAAGAATCAATATTAAGGGAAATTGATGATTTTATGGAAAAAGTAAAAGGAACAAACTTTAGCAAAACCCTTTTAAAAAATGTTGCTGATATTCATAAATTATCAATTTTTAAGGATTCTTCGATACAGACAAAAATAAAAAATAAAATTATAAAAATATTAAAATCAAAAAAATGGGCGAATCTTTTTGCTTTTCTGTTGAAATCTAGTGTGGAATTTCAAGTTGTTGACTATATTAATGGTTTTCTTTTCAATTTGATAAAAACATAACTTCATTTTACCAATGATAGGAAATTCTCAAAAAACCTCATAAATTTAAACCCGACCCAGTTGTTAATTTTGAAGAAGGTTCTGGAAAACTTCGCAAAAGAAAGAAAAGATTCCGAAAGTATGAGTGGGTATATAACTTCCTGGGATGAGATAGTGAAGAGTGTTCAAAAGTACACAGGCCAGTATTTCAATTTTAATTTAATTCGGATTGCATCACATAACACGAAAATTATTTCTGGCCAAAAAAAGCTTGTTCTTGTAAATCCGGAAGATTTAAATTTTTTACCAATAAGGATGTTTTTCTTCGGTTATTGTTTAGAAGTTCAGACAAACTTGTTGAAAAAAAATGTTTCAATGAAAATCCTTATTATGTTTCTATTAAAGGAAAATCTTACGACAATCTGATACAAAGTCTTTTTTCCAAAAAAAAGAGAGCACTACCTTCGGAGGCGTTAATACGTCTTCAAGATAAACTAGACAATTCCTCCGAAAGAGAAGCCTCTCCTAAAATCAGTCCGGTGTTAAGACGAAGTACCCGGAATATAACATCTTTATTTTCTCGTAACGATTATTTCAAGGAAAAAATTCTGAGCGGAACTTCGGAGGGATTAAAAGTTGAAATAATCGAAGGAAAAGGGAGAGGAGTAATTAGTCGCCCATAAGAAAAAGACTATTCTTATGGGCGACTTTTAGGGGGCTGTATCTCCTAAAAAGGGGGCCAATTGGCAAAACTAAAAAATACGTGTCCCCCAAATTTCTCTCAAGAATATGTGACCATTGGATATCTACTGGACATTTGTGCTGTCTGGGACAGGAAATATTTTATTTGTAAAGTCGGCAAACATTGCAGCCATATTTCGTAAGGTTTCTTTCCCAGTGGGTTCAATTTAGGGAATTTGTTTTTATTCTGTGGTTTAATAGTTTGTTTGTATTATTTACAGGCATTTGCAAAATTCCTCCCAGACCCGTTACCTATAGATTTCAACCACCGGTGCTATTTTGGGTTTCTCAACAAAAAAAAGATGAAATGAACAAAATCCATCGACAGTTTGGTCATACAAGATCACAATATAAACGTTTTTTGCTTATTCAAAGATATTGTATCGATAAAAAAAACTATCAGAACCCGAAAAGCGATTTGCAGACCTTTCCTATTTGATGCAGTCGAACATTTTAAATGACATGGAAATTAAATTTCATAGATCATTAATGAAACAAAACACATTGAGAAACATGGCAAGCTGGGTAAGACTTTTAAAATTTATGATAATTTTTATAATTGCAGAAATATTTTTTAGGCGAATCGGCGCATACGAACTCTAGAGGAAACATGCCTCGAGTGGAAAAGCAGGAAAATACCAGATGAAGAATTTATTTTCAAGGTGCTTGAGACACCTAAGATATTTTTGGCCTGGTTAACAAGATGCATCCAGTTAAATGAATCCTTTAAAATTGCTCAGCTACTGAGGGCAAGCAAAATGTTTCAGTACATTTTTGCCATTTTTAAATATATTCAAAGTAACAATCTTGAAGAATCAATATTAAGGGAAATTGATGATTTTATGGAAAAAGTAAAAGGAACAAACTTTAGCAAAACCCTTTTAAAAAATGTTGCTGATATTCATAAATTATCAATTTTTAAGGATTCTTCGATACAGACAAAAATAAAAAATAAAATTATAAAAATATTAAAATCAAAAAAATGGGCGAATCTTTTTGCTTTTCTGTTGAAATCTAGTGTGGAATTTCAAGTTGTTGACTATATTAATGGTTTTCTTTTCAATTTGATAAAAACATAACTTCATTTTACCAATGATAGGAAATTCTCAAAAAACCTCATAAATTTAAACCCGACCCAGTTGTTAATTTTGAAGAAGGTTCTGGAAAACTTCGCAAAAGAAAGAAAAGATTCCGAAAGTATGAGTGGGTATATAACTTCCTGGGATGAGATAGTGAAGAGTGTTCAAAAGTACACAGGCCAGTATTTCAATTTTAATTTAATTCGGATTGCATCACATAACACGAAAATTATTTCTGGCCAAAAAAAGCTTGTTCTTGTAAATCCGGAAGATTTAAATTTTTTAACCAATAAGGATGTTTTTCTTCGGTTATTGTTTAGAAGTTCAGACAAACTTGTTGAAAAAAAATGTTTCAATGAAAATCCTTATTATGTTTCTATTAAAGGAAAATCTTACGACAATCTGATACAAAGTCTTTTTTCCAAAAAAAAGAGAGCACTACCTTCGGAGGCGTTAATACGTCTTCAAGATAAACTAGACAATTCCTCCGAAAGAGAAGCCTCTCCTAAAATCAGTCCGGTGTTAAGACGAAGTACCCGGAATATAACATATTTATTTTCTCGTAACGATTATTTCAAGGAAAAAATTCTGAGCGGAACTTCGGAGGGATTAAAAGTTGAAATAATCGAAGGAAAAGGGAGAGGAGTAATTAGTCGCCCATAAGAAAAAGACTATTCTTATGGGCGACTTTTAGGGGGCTGTATCTCCTAAAAAGGGGGCCAATTGGCAAAACTAAAAAATACGTGTCCCCCAAATTTCTCTCAAGAATATGTGACCATTGAATATCTACTGGACATTTGTGCTGTCTGGGACAGGAAATATTTTATTTTGTAAAGTCGGCAAACATTGCAGCCATATTTCGTAAGGTTTCTTTCCCAGTGGGTTCAATTTAGGAAATTTGTTTTTATTCTGTGGTTTAATAGTTTGTTTGTATTATTTACAGGCATTTGCAAAATTCCTCCCAGACCCGTTACCTATAGATTTCAACCACCGGTGCTATTTTGGGTTTCTCAACAAAAAAAAGATGAAATGAACAAAATCCATCGACAGTTTGGTCATACAAGATCACAATATAAACGTTTTTTACTTATTCAAAGATATTGTATCGATAAAAAAAACTATCAGAACCCGAAAAGCGATTTGCAGACCTTTCCTATTTGATGCAGTCGAACATTTTAAATGACATGGAAATTAAATTTCATAGATCATTAATGAAACAAAACACATTGAGAAACATGGCAAGCTGGGTAAGACTTTTAAAATTTATGATAATTTTTATAATTGCAGAAATATTTTTTAGGCGAATCGGCGCATACGAACTCTAGAGGAAACATGCCTCGAGTGGAAAAGCAGGAAAATACCAGATGAAGAATTTATTTTCAAGGTGCTTGAGACACCTAAGATATTTTTGGCCTGGTTAACAAGATGCATCCAGTTAAATGAATCCTTTAAAATTGCTCAGCAACTGAGGGCAAGCAAAATGTTTCAGTACATTTTTGCCATTTTTAAATATATTCAAAGTAACAATCTTGAAGAATCAATATTAAGGGAAATTGATGATTTTATGGAAAAAGTAAAAGGAACAAACTTTAGCAAAACCCTTTTAAAAAATGTTGCTGATATTCATAAATTATCAATTTTTAAGGATTCTTCGATACAGACAAAAATAAAAAATAAAATTATAAAAATATTAAAATCAAAAAAATGGGCGAATCTTTTTGCTTTTCTGTTGAAATCTAGTGTGGAATTTCAAGTTGTTGACTATATTAATGGTTTTCTTTTCAATTTGATAAAAACAGAACTTCATTTTACCAATGATAGGAAATTCTCAAAAAACCTCATAAATTTAAACCCGACCCAGTTGTTAATTTTGAAGAAGGTTCTGGAAAACTTCGCAAAAGAAAGAAAAGATTCCGAAAGTATGAGTGGGTATATAACTTCCTGGGATGAGATAGTGAAGAGTGTTCAAAAGTACACAGGCCAGTATTTCAATTTTAATTTAATTCGGATTGCATCACATAACACGAAAATTATTTCTGGCCAAAAAAAGCTTGTTCTTGTAAATCCGGAAGATTTAAATTTTTTAACCAATAAGGATGTTTTTCTTCGGTTATTGTTTAGAAGTTCAGACAAACTTGTTGAAAAAAAATGTTTCAATGAAAATCCTTATTATGTTTCTATTAAAGGAAAATCTTACGACAATCTGATACAAAGTCTTTTTTCCAAAAAAAAGAGAGCACTACCTTCGGAGGCGTTAATACGTCTTCAAGATAAACTACACAATTCCTCCGAAAGAGAAGCCTCTCCTAAAATCAGTCCGGTGTTAAGACGAAGTACCCGGAATATAACATCTTTATTTTCTCGTAACGATTATTTCAAGGAAAAAATTCTGAGCGGAACTTCGGAGGGATTAAAAGTTGAAATAATCGAAGGAAAAGGGAGAGGAGTAATTAGTCGCCCATAAGAAAAAGACTATTCTTATGGGCGACTTTTAGGGGGCTGTATCTCCTAAAAAGGGGGCCAATTGGCAAAACTAAAAAATACGTGTCCCCCAAATTTCTCTCAAGAATATGTGACCATTGGATATCTACTGGACATTTGTGCTGTCTGGGACAGGAAATATTTTATTTGTAAAGTCGGCAAACATTGCAGCCATATTTCGTAAGGTTTCTTTCCCAGTGGGTTCAATTTAGGGAATTTGTTTTTATTCTGTGGTTTAATAGTTTGTTTGTATTATTTACAGGCATTTGCAAAATTCCTCCCAGACCCGTTACCTATAGATTTCAACCACCGGTGCTATTTTGGGTTTCTCAACAAAAAAAAGATGAAATGAACAAAATCCATCGACAGTTTGGTCATACAAGATCACAATATAAACGTTTTTTGCTTATTCAAAGATATTGTATCGATAAAAAAAACTATCAGAACCCGAAAAGCGATTTGCAGACCTTTCCTATTTGATGCAGTCGAACATTTTAAATGACATGGAAATTAAATTTCATAGATCATTAATGAAACAAAACACATTGAGAAACATGGCAAGCTGGGTAAGACTTTTAAAATTTATGATAATTTTTATAATTGCAGAAATATTTTTTAGGCGAATCGGCGCATACGAACTCTAGAGGAAACATGCCTCGAGTGGAAAAGCAGGAAAATACCAGATGAAGAATTTATTTTCAAGGTGCTTGAGACACCTAAGATATTTTTGGCCTGGTTAACAAGATGCATCCAGTTAAATGAATCCTTTAAAATTGCTCAGCAACTGAGGGCAAGCAAAATGTTTCAGTACATTTTTGCCATTTTTAAATATATTCAAAGTAACAATCTTGAAGAATCAATATTAAGGGAAATTGATGATTTTATGGAAAAAGTAAAAGGAACAAACTTTAGCAAAACCCTTTTAAAAAATGTTGCTGATATTCATAAATTATCAATTTTTAAGGATTCTTCGATACAGACAAAAATAAAAAATAAAATTATAAAAATATTAAAATCAAAAAAAATGGGCGAATCTTTTTGCTTTTCTGTTGAAATCTAGTGTGGAATTTCAAGTTGTTGACTATATTAATGGTTTTCTTTTCAATTTGATAAAAACAGAACTTCATTTTACCAATGATAGGAAATTCTCAAAAAACCTCATAAATTTAAACCCGACCCAGTTGTTAATTTTGAAGAAGGTTCTGGAAAACTTCGCAAAAGAAAGAAAAGATTCCGAAAGTATGAGTGGGTATATAACTTCCTGGGATGAGATAGTGAAGAGTGTTCAAAAGTACACAGGCCAGTATTTCAATTTTAATTTAATTCGGATTGCATCACATAACACGAAAATTATTTCTGGCCAAAAAAAGCTTGTTCTTGTAAATCCGGAAGATTTAAATTTTTAAACCAATAAGGATGTTTTTCTTCGGTTATTGTTTAGAAGTTCAGACAAACTTGTTGAAAAAAAATGTTTCAATGAAAATCCTTATTATGTTTCTATTAAAGGAAAACCTTACGACAATCTGATACAAAGTCTTTTTTCCAAAAAAAAGAGAGCACTACCTTCGGAGGCGTTAATACGTCTTCAAGATAAACTAGACAATTCCTCCGAAAGAGAAGCCTCTCCTAAAATCAGTCCGGTGTTAAGACGAAGTACCCGGAATATAACATCTTTATTTTCTCGTAACGATTATTTCAAGGAAAAAATTCTGAGCGGAACTTCGGAGGGATTAAAAGTTGAAATAATCGAAGGAAAAGGGAGAGGAGTAATTAGTCGCCCATAAGAAAAAGACTATTCTTATGGGCGACTTTTAGGGGGCTGTATTTCCTAAAAAGGGGGCCAATTGGCAAAACTAAAAAATACGTGTCCCCCAAATTTCTCTCAAGAATATGGGACCATTGGATATCTACTGGACATTTGTGCTGTCTGGGACAGGAAATATTTTATTTGTAAAGTCGGCAAACATTGCAGCCATATTTCGTAAGGTTTCTTTCCCAGTGGGTTCAATTTAGGGAATTTGTTTTTATTCTGTGGTTTAATAGTTTGTTTGTATTATTTACAGGCATTTGCAAAATTCCTCCCAGACCCGTTACCTATAGATTTCAACCACCGGTGCTATTTTGGGTTTCTCAACAAAAAAAAGATGAAATAAACAAAATCCATCGACAGTTTGGTCATACAAGATCACAATATAAACGTTTTTTGCTTATTCAAAGATATTGTATCAATAAAAAAAACTATCAGAACCCGAAAAGCGATTTGCAGACCTTTCCTATTTGATGCAGTCGAACATTTTAAATGACATGGAAATTAAATTTTATAGATCATTAATGAAACAAAACACATTGAGAAACATGGCAAGCTGGGTAAGACTTTTAAAATTTATGATAATTTTTATAATTGCAGAAATATTTTTTAGGCGAATCGGCGCATACGAACTCTAGAGGAAACATGCCTCGAGTGGAAAAGCAGGAAAATACCAGATGAAGAATTTATTTTCAAGGTGCTTGAGACACCTAAGATATTTTTGGCCTGCAAGCTTTCAAGGAAATTAAGGAAAAATTAGTGACAGCTCCAGTTTTAAGTTGTCCAAATTATGGCTTACCTTTCGACGTACAGACGGACGCTTCTGGTTGGGGCATAGCGGCGGTTTTAACACAACCTCATCCATCTGGGTAAAAGTGGTGGCATATTTAAGTAGATCTTTAACAGCGCAAGAGAGGAAATATTCGACAACAGAAAGGGAATGTCTGGCTGTAATATGGGCCCTCGAAAAACTAAGACCCTATCTAGAAGGTGTACCCAATGTAACCGTAATTACCGACCATTACTCGTTGGTGTGGCTTTATAATCTCCATGATGTCAACGGAAGGCTAGCCAGGTGGGCGTTGAGAATGCAGCAGTTTGATGTGAAAATTGTACACAGGAAAGGAAAAGAACATATAGTACCCGATACCTTATCCAGATCTGTACCGGTATTGGATTTTTTAGAGGTTCTAAGTAAGTCGGACAGATGGTTTGTGAATATGTGTAATAAAGTCAAGAAGGATCCTTTAAAATATCCAAATTGGAGATTTGCGGATGACTGTTTGTATAAGTATGTTAAGCCAGAATATTCAAATATGACATCGGACTGGGAAAACTGGAAGAAAGTAGTGCTCAAAGGACAACGTCTTCCGCTGTTGAAAAAATTTCATGAGGATGCCACGTCGGGACATGCAGGAGTTTTTAAAACATGCGCTAGGTTGTTCGAACAATATTACTGGCCAAAACTTAGAAGTGATGTAGCGAGATTTATTAAAAGTTGTACTACGTGTACACAGCATCGCACAGACAATAAGAAACCAGTGGGCTTCATGTTAAGCCACCCAAAAGTAACTCGTCCGTGGGAAATGATTTCATCCGACCTTATGGGACCTATAGTAAAGTCTAATCGTGGAAATAGCTATATTTTAGTTGTAACTGATTATTTTAGTAAATTTTCCCTGATGTTTCCTTTACGTACAGCTACCGGGAAAGTCATAGCGAAGAAGATAGAAGAAGAAGTATTTTTAATGTTTGGAGTTCCAAGAATTGCCATTAGCGATAATGGGCCGCAGTACCGCTCGAAAGAGTATTTAAATCTTTTAAAGGAATATAAAGTAACGCCAAAGTTTAATGCCGCCTATCATGCGCAGGCGAATCCCACCGAAAGGGTAAATCGTACCTTAAAATACATGTTAGCCACATACGTAACTGACAATCATCGGTTATGGGATGTAAATTTACCAAAAATAGCCTGTGCAATTCGTACTGCAAAGAGTGAGACCACCCAACAGTCACCATATTTTATCAATTTCGGAAGATCAATGTTTCTATCGGGAATGGACTACCATCGGAAGGACCTATTTGAGGAGGGTAATGCCGGGGAAATGTTAAATAGAGGCGATGGATTTAAGCAAATTTTTGAGGATGTTAGCAAAAGAATACAACAAGCAGGAGAGAGAAACAAGAAGTACTATGATCTAAGGAGAAGGAGTGAGGAGTTTTGGGTTGGACAAGCGGTTTGGAAAAGGAATTACGTGTTGTCAGATGCTCAGAAATTCTATTCCAAAAAGCTAGCACCCAAGTTTGTTGGGCCATTCTTTATTAAGAAACGGGTTTCGCCATGGACATACGAGATTCAAGACGAGGCAGGTAGACTAAAAGGAACCTTCCACGCTAAAGACCTAAAAGCTCATCCGCCCGAATTTCAGGATAACTAATTTTTTAATTTTTTTTTATTCAACTTTTTTTTTAAGAAAATAACGGGTTATTTTCTTAAAGTAAGGGGGGAATTTGTAACATTTAAATTTCAGTAATTAAATATTTTGAGAAAAAAATAAATATAATCTTGGGATTTTTAAAATTTAAATAATAAAGCAACCAGTTTGTTTGTAAATAGAGTTTATTTATTAAATTTATTTAAGTTATAAATAAATGTTTTTTTGCTGTGACGTCATACATTCTTTAAATTCCTTTGGAGTTCGTGAATTTTAACCTGAAAAGTAAAATTGTATCAATGGAAATTTTGCGTAAACAGGAAATATTACATTAATGGGCAGTAGTTGCCATTTGTCACTTTACCTACCTTTATATGAATGCTCCAATTCGATCGCTTGGCACGATGATTTTGATCGACAACAGTGTTCTCTAGGTTCCTGAAAATAATAAAAATATATTGTGATGGAAAATACTTAAATGTTTCCTTTTCAATTGATGCTTATTTCCAGTAATATTTTTAGTTATTGTTGGTTGATACTTACATGTTGTGGTTTAATTTGGTTTATTTACTGTCATTTGTTTTGCATAAAAATCACTGTGTTTTTTTTTGACGATTACAGTCCATAATGATTTATTTCCCTAAAAATTAATATCCATATTATGAATAATAGTTGGGTATTTGATTAGCGCAGTTAATTGAATCGTTTCTTATGGTGCATTTTTGTAACCCAGGATATTTATTGGCTTATAATTTATTTCCTGTTAAGTATGGGTTCTTTTTCTTTGGAAATTAAAAGACTTAAGGCCGTTTTGTTTGATATTCTATGGTGGTAAAATTTGTGTGGTTTTTTTTCTATTGTCTCATTTTTTAAAATATTTTAAATAATAATTATTAGTAAATTAAAATTTGTTTATGACAATATTCGCGCATGTCTAAAGAAGGTCAAGGAAGTCTTCTAGAAGGAAGTCAGTCCTTTGGTGAATCTTTATCGTTGTGCACATAATTGTTGGAATTTTTGAATTGAACCTTTTTAAAGGGATTTAAGTGCCACGATATTTTTATATAGGAAGAGAGTGTGTTGGATTTTGCAGTTGTGTTGATTTTCGATCTCGATTCCTACAGCGTTTGCTGGATTTTTCAAGATTACCAAAACTAACCACGTAGCCGTCCATCATCTAGGGTTACCAATTGAATTGCAGTTTTTTTTGCTTTGAAAGCCTAAAAGCTGATACCTACCATCGCAGTAAGTCATTTTATTTTTTCCTTCTTCCTTCAGTTCCGCTAATTATTTTATTTGTAGAAACAAGTTTGAAACTTTTCATTTGGAATTTATCTCAAAAGGAAAAAACCCTTCATTGAAGGTATGTTGTATGTAAAGTTAAGGGTTGTTACTTAATAATATTTTTTATAGGGTTTTTTTTTGGGGTTGTTTCCTCGAGTTCTTTTTACATTTTAATATTCTGGAAATTCATTGAAGAAATATATTTGGACGTTTTCTGGCAGGAAAATCTTGAGAGCCGCCGCCATCTTGTATTGAATTTACTTCGGGAATCTTCAGGTGCCGACACTTAAGGTCAGATCTATCCTGTTTTTGCTTTTATATAGTTTTTTTGTTATATCTTTGATATTAAATAGATCTGAAAATAAATTAATTTAAGTTTATTTTAAATAGTTACAATAGAAATATAATAATAATATTACTTACCTATTTTCCCTGTAAATCATTTATAGCTGGCCAGATATAAAAGAGTTTTATTTATTTAAATTAGTCTTGTTATTATATATATATATTTTCTGTCAGACAGATGTTGGTATAAACTTTAATACATATTGCTTCTTGAATTAAACATTTTTTTTTTATTATTGTTTTAAACTTTGCTACTTTTTAATTTTAGTAACAATCACTTATTGTTACTTGGCGCCCAATATATAAGTAAAGGTAAGTAACTCTTTAATAAACTGCCAATCCCAGACCCTGAAAGGCTGAGCTGGTCAGGTTTATAACGATATCGGTCTATTTGTACGTTTAATAATATTAATGGTTTTCTTTTCAATTTGATAAAAACAGAACTTCATTTTACCAATGATAGGAAATTCTCAAAAAACCTCATAAATTTAACCCGACCCAGTTGTTAATTTTGAAGAAGGTTCTGGAAAACTTAATAATAATAATATAATAATAATAAACTTTATTGCAAAAAAAAAATATACACAACGCTTGTATACATTTACATTCACAAAGGGGTCTAGGTTCAACAAAAGTTGTTCTTCCACCTAAACCATAGAATTAGCTAATAATAATAATTGTTTAAACATGGTATACAATAAAAATAAAACAAAATCAGGTACATTGTTGCTCAAGTAGTACAGTTTTAAGTTGTTTTTTAAAATTGACTACATTATCACAAGTGGAATAGATATTAAAGTACCTATTATAAGTCTTAGGTGCTAAAATTTCAAAACTGTTTTGAAACTTGCTTGTTTTATGAATTGGTATTGAAAATAGTTCATTGCTACGTGTGTTAATATTATGATAAGCTGATAGCCTATTTAATAGCACAAAAATGTAACTAGGTCTATATGATTTAATAACATTAAAAACAAGACAGGCAAATTGTAGTAAAAAACATATGCTCACACTTAAGAATATTATGCTGATTAAAAATTGGTGTTACATGCTCACGAATATTTACATTAAAAGAAAACCTAAGGCAGGAGTTTTGTAGTTTTTGTAATTTGTACTTATAAGTTGCAGTTGCAAAATTGTAATACACGCTGCTGCAATAATTCAGTGGACTTAAAATAAGGCTTGTAGATAATTTCCATTTTACATTAGAGTTTAAAAAATTCTTAAAATTATAAATAGATTTTAGTTTGACATAAGCGCTTTTTATTAATTTGCATATATGTTTATTAAAAACAAAGTTTTTGTCAATTAAAATGCCCAGGTTTTTAACAACTTCTTCAAAGATTATCACAGTGTTTTCTAGAAAAATATCACAGGTTTTATTTCTGAGGGTTTTTTGTAACATATTGTTTGAACCTACACATATAGCTACTGTTTTGGTAGCATTTAAAGACAGGCCATTGCACTTTGACCACTCACTTATTGACACTAGATCTTCATTAATTAGTTGGATGGTAGAGTTGATGCTGGAAGGTAAACATGGCAGGTAGAGTTGGGTGTCATCTGCATACTGATGAAATACGCAGTTTGACACTGCATTTTTGAAGTCAGAAGTAAAAATGGAGAACAACATAGGCCCCAGTATACTACCCTGGGGTACTCCTTTGCTGACATATTTATAAGTGGACATTTTTTCACCTAGTTGTACACACGCACTCTGATATGTATAGTTTGATAACCACTTAATAACTGATTTGTCAAACCGATAGTAACTAAGTTTTGCCAGGAGTAAATCATGGTTGATTACGTCAAAAGCCTTACTGTAGTCAAGTAACACCATCAAGCTAACTTGAGAGTTGTCCATTGCCCTGGATATATCATTTGATATTTTTAAAAGTGCAGTATTAGTACTACGATCTTTTCTAAAACCAGATTGGTTTTCCGGTAGAACATAGGTTTCAGTATGGTGTGAGATTTGCATTTGTACAATCTTTTCAGTAACTTTTGAAAATATAGGCAATATACTAATTGGCCTGAAGTCTACTGGACCACTTGGCTTATTTACTTTGGGTATTGGTAGTATTTTTGCAGCTTTCCAGAGCTTTGGTACAATTCCATTTGATAGAGATAAATTAATAATATGTGTAATCTGTGGGAGGCAGTGTGGTAATACTATTTTTAACATTTTAAGATCAATGCCATCAACTCCCTGAGCATTCGATTTGAGACTTTGTACAGCCTTTAATACATCACCCTCATACACAGTCTGAAATTTTGCACTCTCATCAACATTGGGTTTTTTATTGTTATTAAAGTATTGAAGAGTATCTTGTGTTACTTCCAGGTTTCCAATTAAGTTTGTAAAAAATTCATTAAGTTCATCAGCACTTACAGAATTTAATGGGACTTCTACAGGTTTTTTTGAGTGTACATTAAGCTTATTTAAGTTATTCCAGAATAGTTTGGAATTTTTGGAGTATTTATTTACATTATGCTCGATGTATGCCTTCTTCTCATTTCTTATTGCTACTATGAGGTAATTTCTCAGCTGTTTGTAGTAATCAAAGTGTGCCATTTTTTTCGTTTTCTGGTACTTTTTATAGGCTTTATTTTTTAGCTTTATTATTTCTTGTATAACTGGTGTAATATAAGGATGCTTGGGTTTACAAATTTTTCGATTTTTTATAGGTGCATGCAGATCAAATAAGCTTAAGATTGCACTATTAAGGAAATTTACTTTTTCATCTATTGGTATTTCTGAATTTATGTAGCTCCAGTTTATTCTAACAGCATCAAAAGAGAAATCCGCCAGATTAAAACTGGAAAAGTCTCTGAAGGTAATTGTGTGTGGGTTGGGTTTATTTGTTGGTATTATAAGTTCGCATTTGATGAGAAGATGATCCGTCATATCTAATAAATCCACTGTGGAGTAGTTAGAGAGTTCTATATTGTTAGAGATACAAATTACATCTATTAAGGTTGCTGAGTAATCTGTAACTCTAGTCGGCTCTTGTATAATTTGTTTTAAATTATATACTTCAAGCATATTTGTAAAATCAGCCTTCATACTGCTATTCTGAAGTAGATTTATATTCAGATCCCCCATTATAATTATATTATTGTTTTCAAGATTCATTTGACAAAGTGCATTTTCCAATTCATTTAGAGTTATTGAATTTTCGGGTGGTCTATAGACAACCGCAAGGCCATACTTAACTTTATTTATAGTAAGCTGTATCCACAATTGCTCCAGTCTATCTTCAACTATATAATCTAATAATTTTTGTTCTACATTAAGACAAGTACGTATATAACAGCACACTCCTCCTCCTCTTTTCTCTCTATCTTTTCTAAACAATATATATCCTGGAATGTAAAGATATTTATCTGAAAAGAAAAAAAAAAAAAGAAAAGATTCCGAAAGTATGAGTGGGTATATAACTTCCTGGGATGAGATAGTGAAGAGTGTTCAAAAGTACACAGGCCAGTATTTCAATTTTAATTTAATTCGGATTGCATCACATAACACGAAAATTATTTCTGGCCAAAAAAAGCTTGTTCTTGTAAATCCGGAAGATTTAAATTTTTTAACCAATAAGGATGTTTTTCTTCGGTTATTGTTTAGAAGTTCAGACAAACTTGTTGAAAAAAAATGTTTCAATGAAAATCCTTATTATGTTTCTATTAAAGGAAAATCTTACGACAATCTGATACAAAGTCTTTTTTCCAAAAAAAAGAGAGCACTACCTTCGGAGGCGTTAATACGTCTTCAAGATAAACTAGACAATTCCTCCGAAAGAGAAGCCTCTCCTAAAATCAGTCCGGTGTTAAGACGAAGTACCCGGAATATAACATCTTTATTTTCTCGTAACGATTATTTCAAGGAAAAAATTCTGAGCGGAACTTCGGAGGGATTAAAAGTTGAAATAATCGAAGGAAAAGGGAGAGGAGTAATTAGTCGCCCATAAGAAAAAGACTATTCTTATGGGCGACTTTTAGGGGGCTGTATCTCCTAAAAAGGGGGCCAATTGGCAAAACTAAAAAATACGTGTCCCCCAAATTTCTCTCAAGAATATGTGACCATTGGATATCTACTGGACATTTGTGCTGTCTGGGACAGGAAATATTTTATTTGTAAAGTCGGCAAACATTGCAGCCATATTTCGTAAGGTTTCTTTCCCAGTGGGTTCAATTTAGGGAATTTGTTTTTATTCTGTGGTTTAATAGTTTGTTTGTATTATTTACAGGCATTTGCAAAATTCCTCCCAGACCCGTTACCTATAGATTTCAACCACCGGTGCTATTTTGGGTTTCTCAACAAAAAAAAAGATGAAATGAACAAAATCCATCGACAGTTTGGTCATACAAGATCACAATATAAACGTTTTTTGCTTATTCAAAGATATTGTATCGATAAAAAAAACTATCAGAACCCGAAAAGCGATTTGCAGACCTTTCCTATTTGATGCAGTCGAACATTTTAAATGACATGGAAATTAAATTTCATAGATCATTAATGAAACAAAACACATTGAGAAACATGGCAAGCTGGGTAAGACTTTTAAAATTTATGATAATTTTTATAATTGCAGAAATATTTTTTAGGCGAATCGGCGCATACGAACTCTAGAGGAAACATGCCTCGAGTGGAAAAGCAGGAAAATACCAGATGAAGAATTTATTTTCAAGGTGCTTGAGACACCTAAGATATTTTTGGCCTGGTTAACAAGATGCATCCAGTTAAATGAATCCTTTAAAATTGCTCAGCAACTGAGGGCAAGCAAAATGTTTTAGTACATTTTTGCCATTTTTAAATATATTCAAAGTAACAATCTTGAAGAATCAATATTAAGGGAAATTGATGATTTTATGGAAAAAGTAAAAGGAACAAACTTTAGCAAAACCCTTTTAAAAAATGTTGCTGATATTCATAAATTATCAATTTTTAAGGATTCTTCGATACAGACAAAAATAAAAAATAAAATTATAAAAATATTAAAATCAAAAAAATGGGCGAATCTTTTTGCTTTTCTGTTGAAATCTAGTGTGGAATTCAAGTTGTTGACTATATTAATGGTTTTCTTTTCAATTTGATAAAAACAGAACTTCATTTTACCAATGATAGGAAATTCTCAAAAAACCTCATAAATTTAAACCCGACCCAGTTGTTAATTTTGAAGAAGGTTCTGGAAAACTTCGCAAAAGAAAGAAAAGATTCCGAAAGTATGAGTGGGTATATAACTTCCTGGGATGAGATAGTGAAGAGTGTTCAAAAGTACACAGGCCAGTATTTCAATTTTAATTTAATTCGGATTGCATCACATAACACGAAAATTATTTCTGGCCAAAAAAAGCTTGTTCTTGTAAATCCGGAAGATTTAAATTTTTTAACCAATAAGGATGTTTTTCTTCGGTTATTGTTTAGAAGTTCAGACAAACTTGTTGAAAAAAAATGTTTCAATGAAAATCCTTATTATGTTTCTATTAAAGGAAAATCTTACGACAATCTGATACAAAGTCTTTTTTCCAAAAAAAAGAGAGCACTACCTTCGGAGGCGTTAATACGTCTTCAAGATAAACTAGACAATTCCTCCGAAAGAGAAGCCTCTCCTAAAATCAGTCCGGTGTTAAGACGAAGTACCCGGAATATAACATCTTTATTTTCTCGTAACGATTATTTCAAGGAAAAAATTCTGAGCGGAACTTCGGAGGGATTAAAAGTTAAAATAATCGAAGGAAAAGGGAGAGGAGTAATTAGTCGCCCATAAGAAAAAGACTATTCTTATGGGCGACTTTTAGGGGGCTGTATCTCCTAAAAAGGGGGCCAATTGGCAAAACTAAAAAATACGTGTCCCCCAAATTTCTCTCAAGAATATGTGACCATTGGATATCTACTGGACATTTGTGCTGTCTGGGACAGGAAATATTTTATTTGTAAAGTCGGCAAACATTGCAGCCATATTTCGTAAGGTTTCTTTCCCAGTGGGTTCAATTTAGGGAATTTGTTTTTATTCTGTGGTTTAATAGTTTGTTTGTATTATTTACAGGCATTTGCAAAATTCCTCCCAGACCCGTTACCTATAGATTTCAACCACCGGTGCTATTTTGGGTTTCTCAACAAAAAAAAGATGAAATAAACAAAATCCATCGACAGTTTGGTCATACAAGATCACAATATAAACGTTTTTTGCTTATTCAAAGATATTGTATCGATAAAAAAAACTATCAGAACCCGAAAAGCGATTTGCAGACCTTTCCTATTTGATGCAGTCGAACATTTTAAATGACATGGAAATTAAATTTCATAGATCATTAATGAAACAAAACACATTGAGAAACATGGCAAGCTGGGTAAGACTTTTAAAATTTATGATAATTTTTATAATTGCAGAAATATTTTTTAGGCGAATCGGCGCATACGAACTCTAGAGGAAACATGCCTCGAGTGGAAAAGCAGGAAAATACCAGATGAAGAATTTATTTTCAAGGTGCTTGAGACACCTAAGATATTTTTGGCCTGGTTAACAAGATGCATCCAGTTAAATGAATCCTTTAAAATTGCTCAGCAACTGAGGGCAAGCAAAATGTTTTAGTACATTTTTGCCATTTTTAAATATATTCAAAGTAACAATCTTGAAGAATCAATATTAAGGGAAATTGATGATTTTATGGAAAAAGTAAAAGGAACAAACTTTAGCAAAACCCTTTTAAAAAATGTTGCTGATATTCATAAATTATCAATTTTTAAGGATTCTTCGATACAGACAAAAATAAAAAATAAAATTATAAAAATATTAAAATCAAAAAAATGGGCGAATCTTTTTGCTTTTCTGTTGAAATCTAGTGTGGAATTTCAAGTTGTTGACTATATTAATGGTTTTCTTTTCAATTTGATAAAAACAGAACTTCATTTTACCAATGATAGGAAATTCTCAAAAAACCTCATAAATTTAAACCCGACCCAGTTGTTAATTTTGAAGAAGGTTCTGGAAAACTTCGCAAAAGAAAGAAAAGATTCCGAAAGTATGAGTGGGTATATAACTTCCTGGGATGAGATAGTGAAGAGTGTTCAAAAGTACACAGGCCAGTATTTCAATTTTAATTTAATTCGGATTGCATCACATAACACGAAAATTATTTCTGGCCAAAAAAAGCTTGTTCTTGTAAATCCGGAAGATTTAAATTTTTTAACCAATAAGGATGTTTTTCTTCGGTTATTGTTTAGAAGTTCAGACAAACTTGTTGAAAAAAAATGTTTCAATGAAAATCCTTATTATGTTTCTATTAAAGGAAAATCTTACGACAATCTGATACAAAGTCTTTTTTCCAAAAAAAAGAGAGCACTACCTTCGGAGGCGTTAATACGTCTTCAAGATAAACTAGACAATTCCTCCGAAAGAGAAGCCTCTCCTAAAATCAGTCCGGTGTTAAGACGAAGTACCCGGAATATAACATCTTTATTTTCTCGTAACGATTATTTCAAGGAAAAAATTCTGAGCGGAACTTCGGAGGGATTAAAAGTTGAAATAATCGAAGGAAAAGGGAGAGGAGTAATTAGTCGCCCATAAGAAAAAGACTATTCTTATGGGCGACTTTTAGGGGGCTGTATCTCCTAAAAAGGGGGCCAATTGGCAAAACTAAAAAATACGTGTCCCCCAAATTTCTCTCAAGAATATGTGACCATTGGATATCTACTGGACATTTGTGCTGTCTGGAACAGGAAATATTTTATTTGTAAAGTCGGCAAACATTGCAGCCATATTTCGTAAGGTTTCTTTCCCAGTGGGTTCAATTTAGGGAATTTGTCTTTATTCTGTGGTTTAATAGTTTGTTTGTATTATTTACAGGCATTTGCAAAATTCCTCCCAGACCCGTTACCTATAGATTTCAACCACCGGTGCTATTTTGGGTTTCTCAACAAAAAAAAGATGAAATGAACAAAATCCATCGACAGTTTGGTCATACAAGATCACAATATAAACGTTTTTTGCTTATTCAAAGATATTGTATCGATAAAAAAAACTATCAGAACCCGAAAAGCGATTTGCAGACCTTTCCTATTTGATGCAGTCGAACATTTTAAATGACATGGAAATTAAATTTCATAGATCATTAATGAAACAAAACACATTGAGAAACATGGCAAGCTGGGTAAGACTTTTAAAATTTATGATAATTTTTATAATTGCAGAAATATTTTTTAGGCGAATCGGCGCATACGAACTCTAGAGGAAACATGCCTCGAGTGGAAAAGCAGGAAAATACCAGATGAAGAATTTATTTTCAAGGTGCTTGAGACACCTAAGATATTTTTGGCCTGGTTAACAAGATGCATCCAGTTAAATGAATCCTTTAAAATTGCTCAGCAACTGAGGGCAAGCAAAATGTTTCAGTACATTTTTGCCATTTTTAAATATATTCAAAGTAACAATCTTGAAGAATCAATATTAAGGGAAATTGATGATTTTATGGAAAAAGTAAAAGGAACAAACTTTAGCAAAACCCTTTTAAAAAATGTTGCTGATATTCATAAATTATCAATTTTTAAGGATTCTTCGATACAGACAAAAATAAAAAATAAAATTATAAAAATATTAAAATCAAAAAAATGGGCGAATCTTTTTGCTTTTCTGTTGAAATCTAGTGTGGAATTTCAAGTTGTTGACTATATTAATGGTTTTCTTTTCAATTTGATAAAAACAGAACTTCATTTTACCAATGATAGGAAATTCTCAAAAAACCTCATAAATTTAAACCCGACCCAGTTGTTAATTTTGAAGAAGGTTCTGGAAAACTTCGCAAAAGAAAGAAAAGATTCCGAAAGTATGAGTGGGTATATAACTTCCTGGGATGAGATAGTGAAGAGTGTTCAAAAGTACACAGGCCAGTATTTCAATTTTAATTTAATTCGGATTGCATCACATAACACGAAAATTATTTCTGGCCAAAAAAAGCTTGTTCTTGTAAATCCGGAAGATTTAAATTTTTTAACCAATAAGGATGTTTTTCTTCGGTTATTGTTTAGAAGTTCAGACAAACTTGTTGAAAAAAAATGTTTCAATGAAAATCCTTATTATGTTTCTATTAAAGGAAAATCTGTAACGGAAAATGCTCTTCAAGTTGTTAAATTTCAATTTAGTTGTTGTAATAACTTAAATTTTTAAAGTGACACATTACACGCACCTTTTAGCTCAGACGTAGACAAAATAAGACTATTTTAAAGTGGGTATTTCTTTCTTTGGCTAACCGCAGTAAATAAAGAATTAACAAAAATATACTATACCTTGAAAGTTAATCAACTGACAAAAAAATAAAACTCTATTTTCCCCAGTTATAAAAAATATCTATTTTAAGATTTTAATAATAATTAATTACAATAAATGACATGTAAAATAATCCAAACAATTAAATAGTATAACAATCTGAAGGATTGCGTACTTAAAAAAACAAGTTTTATAAACTACCTACCTATATTGATAATCAAAATTTAATACAAATTAAATAGTAAAACAATCTGATGGATTGCGTACTCAAAAAAAAACAAGTTTTATAAACTATATTGATAATCAAAATTTAATACAAATTAAATAGTATAACAATCAGATGGATTGCGTACTGCAGGAATTTTATAATAACAAAAAACTAATAATAAAACAACCTGGGTTGGATATTCCAAGAGTTTGATGACTTCGATGTTAATTAGTATTAAAAAGAGTACATCACCTTATTAACCGTTGGATTTGTATATTCCTTGCTGGTCGATCTGCTTGTCGAAATGGACAGTGGATTCAGAATTATATCCATGCAGTGTTCATAACCTCAATCGGAATATTTTGCAGGAACAAAATGCTTGATTAACTTTAGTAATACTTGCAAACTCCTCAATATCAACAAACTTGGTTGGACATCGTAAAATAATTCGTTTCCATAAAATTTTCACAGCGTGGTTACGCCGCACAAAAAAATCGCAATCAAAATGGCTAATTACGCATTACTTTTCCAATAACCAAAATTCCAACAAAATGTGCAATCACAATCAATGTAAAAATACACGCAGGTAACTAGTACTCGATAATAGGGTACGGCCTTAAAAAATATAATCTTTTGAGTTTAATTCCAATATAAATAAAACTTTCTTACCAAGGATATCCCTTTGGCCGTGTGTAACAGGTGGGTGCTCAAAACAGAAAGGAAGAATTTTCGTACGTGACCTATTTGGTTAATCGTGCGCATGCGGCATGAATATACGCACAGCGATACACTACTTAAAACAATTAGGCAAGAAACGACGAAAATGAAACTGAACATGACACGATCTTTTTTAATCGTGACACACCACCGAAACGTGGTAAAAAAACGAGAAAAAAAACATTAAATGTGCATGGCCATGTAGGAATTAATCATCAGTATCATTGGAACAATCGTTCGTCATATCGGAAATGTGTTTCAAATTTTTAACATGCCAATTACCCAAATCTTTTCCACTCGCGTCCACCAAATTATAAACCAATGGGGACAGAACTTTATTTACTTTACAACGAATGTATTTAGGAGCCAGCTTAGCATTAAAATGTTTATCCGCATTAGACAAAATCTTATTCTCCTTATAAACAATATCTCCGACATTTAAAATCATATGGCGTCTCCGCAAATCATAACGCTTTTTGTATCTATTATAAGCTTGATCTAAATTACTTTTAACCTTAGCATAAATTTCGGGAAGGTTAGACAAATCAGAAACAAAATTAGAGGCATCGGAAATAAAAATTTTTTCGCAAGCCTTCACACTATCATAAAAGTCACCATTGCTAGGTACGATCCTGCCAAAGGTTAAAAAATTGGGACTATGTCCAGTGATTTCGTGAGCTGAAGAGCGTATTGCATGCGATATTTTATGTAGGTCTTGATCCCACAGTTTATGATTATTTTTGAGATAAGATCTAATGGCTGTTATTATGACTTTATTATAACGTTCGCAAAAATTTATTTGAGGATGATATAGGGAATTGTACCAAACTTTAATTTTATAAGAATTCATAAAATCTTTAAAAACTCTACTAACAAAATATTTAGCATTGTCAGTCAAAAGGATTTGAGGGACACCAAAAACTAAAAATATATTTTGTTCCAAAAACTTAATTATATTTTGCGAAGTAATCTTTCTTAAAGGATGTGCAAAAACTGATTTGGTGAACCAGTCACAAACAACTAGTGCATAACAATTTCCAAGTTTGGAACGAGGATATGGACCTATAATATCAATGCTAATTAATTGAAATGGAAACGAAACTTCTTTTGGTTTACCCATAAATCCAGCAGGCTTTTGCTGAGATGACTTGCAAGAATTACAAATGTGACATTTGGCAATATATTTTTTTACATCCAATCGAAGCTTAGGCCAGTAATATTTTTCTAATATTTTTGTAAAAGTTTTAAAAAATCCAAAATGACCCGCAAATACAGAATCATGATTCTGCTGTAGAATTTCTAAACGATTGTTAACAGGTACAAATAATTTCCATTCAGGTATATTTGACTTAATTTCAGTTTTATTAGGAATAAACTTATACAAAACGTTATTTTCAACTTTAAACAGGGGAAAACTCTCAGGATTATTTACAACCTTACTCAACATTTCATTATACCATGTATCCGTTCTATCAACATCAATAGTACAGAGATCTGAAGGATTACGTGACAAAAAGTCAGCCAAAACATTGCATTTACCTTTAATGTGAATAATATTATAATCAAATTCCTGTAATTTTATTGCCCATCGTGCAAGTCTACCGCGCAAATCTTTAATATTAGATAACCAAGTCAAAGATGCATGATCAGTATAAATTTTAAAACGCGTTCCTTCAATAAAACCACGAAATTTATCTAAAGAAAAAATTATACCCAAAAGTTCCCGTTCTGTGACAGTGTAATTGATTTCAGGTTTAGTTAATGTTCTACTAACATAAGCAATTGGATGAAAATTATTGTTTACTTCTTGACATAAGACTCCACCTATAGCGTAGTCGCTTGCGTCTGCAAAAATACAAAAGGGTTTGGTATAATCTGGAGAAATTAAAATGGGGGCTGATACAAGACATTCTTTAAGTTTGTGAAAACATTCTTCAGCTACTGAAGTCCACTCGATTTTTTGTTTCTTTGATTTACCTTTAGTTAACGCAGTTATAGGCGCTGAATAATCCGCAAAATTACCGATAAATCTACGGTACCAAGACATGGTTGCAATAAAACTCTTAACTTCAGTCACTGTTTCTGGCTTTTTTAAATCTAAAATGGCACTTATTTTTTCTGGACAAGTTCGAAGACCTTTAGAGTCAACTACATATCCAAGGTATTTTAAGCTAGACATACAAAATTGACATTTCGGGAAATTTATGGTTAAGCCAGCATCCTTTAATTTAACAAAAACTTTATTTAAGACTTCTAAGTGCAACTCAAAAGTAGGTGTGGTAATAATGATATCATCTAAATAAGTAAAGACATAAGGTCGCAAAGTTTCATCAAAAATAAAATCCATTAAACGTTGTTGTACCTGAGGGGAAATTTTTAATCCTTGTGGAAGTCTAGTCCATTCAAATAAACCTCTACCTGGAACTGTAAATGCAGTTTTCTCCATAGAATCTTTATTTAACCCAATTTGCCAAAAAGCATTACGTAAATCTATAGAAGACAAAAACTGTGACTGTTGTAATTGATTTAAAATATGAGCCACAAAAGGAAGTGGATATGCATCACCTTTAACAACTGAATTAAGTTTCCTGGCATCGTAAACTACTCGAAAATCACCGCTCTTTTTTTTTACTAGTAAAATAGGACTACTCCAAGGAGATTTAGATGGTTGTATCACACCCAAAGTTAATAATTTGTCTATTTCCGTATTCATGTGTTCTTGCATGGCAGGAGACAATGGATAATACCTTTGCTTTATAGGGGAAGCAGAGCCAGTATCAATATTGACAGTAATTAATGGAGTTATTCCCAAAATAGGTGTATCTAAAGTTTTGAATTGTGAAATTAAAATTTGTAATTTGTTTTGTTGTTCAGAATTTAATGAATTTACGTCTTGAATAATATTTATAGTATTTAAAGAATGATTAAAAGAATTATCAATAAAATTAAGTGAAAGTTTAAAAAGTTGACAAAAATCTATACCAAGGATCAAATCATGTTTTATGGATGGAATTACTAAGACTCTAAGAAGTTTACTATTTTTATTTAATGATACAGCAATATCAACATATCCCAAAACTGATTGATAGTTACCATCAGCAGTACTTACATTAACGTTGGCATTATTAACAATTAAATTTGACAAAAAAAGCAATTTTGTAAGGCAAGATTCTCCTATAATAGAGACATTAGCTCCTGAGTCAAGTAAAGCATCAATGCTGTGACCAAATAAGTCAACAGTTACAAAAGGTCTATTGTCATTGTTAATTTTTGTAAAAGTAGGCGAAAG